GGGTTTGTCAGGAAGAAATGGATTAATATATTCAACAATGTAACAGTCAGAATCCCAAAAATACAAAGTAGGTTTAGGTCTGTCTTTCTCATGGTTAATGTTGGAAATCCTTTCATTTAAAAGCTCTCCATCTGGTCCAAATCTGGCGTCAATACCAAAAAGAGGATCCACTTCATCAGCAGGAATCTGTCCCAAACACGAACTAAACAGTCCTGCAAAATATCAATTTAAATAAAGTTAAATGAAAGATTATAAAAAAGAAAGTTATCGCAAATGGAATACACATAACCACCGTTTGGGAAAATGCATCCTGATATACGACCATAATTCTTTAACTCCACCAACAGCCAATTGCTGGAATCAACCATGTAATTTAGGCATTTCGTACCATATCACTAGTACCATGTTGTCGAAATGGAGGGGGGGGGGGTACCGATAAAACATATTTCCTATTAAGTGTTAATGGGGAGACACGGTGTTGCAGAAGGAACAATAGCTAAGCTTGCAAGCTAATTTACTTCTCAGTGATTGTAACGGCTATAGCGAATATTCACAGCAGATCAGTTTGCCTGATTGCAAAGTAAGCCGGTTATTGTGTGGTGACTTATTGTATGCTAGGTTGGTTTCGGCAAAAAAGGTGCCGTGTGAACTAATTTGCATACTAGCTTGATTTCATGTTCTGTGTAAAATGTTACGATGCAAAAGACAATTAATGTTGAAGGAGAAAAGTCTAATTTGAAATGTTGAATGACAAAAGGTAGATGTCAAAAGCGCAATGTGAAAGCGAAACTATTAAACAAATTAAGTTTTATATTATCAACGGTATTATGTTCTGTGGACACGACCATGTGTTATATAATACTGACAAGTACAAGATTGCGTAGATAGCAATATATATATCTTTTTGGAACTCGACTTAAAAAGAGCAATAAACTATAACACCTAGCCAACTTAAGAAAAAAGTGCAACTGTTATGCGTGTAATGCGGAAAAACGCTTGCTTAGACACGACCCCCATGTCTACTATCTTGACTAAGTGTGTCTAAAGGTTGATGAATAAAGCAACTATGGATATGTGGAAGACTTGGTGAATAGAACATAGCAAATGGAAAGAGAAGATAAAGCAGGTATGGGGCCTTGATAACATCGTGCTCTGACTCTTTAACAATTGTTTAAGATGAAGAAAAACATATCCGTTAAGGCATTGGACTGCACTGTCATGCGCCAGAGCTATTATTATAGACTAGGCTATGCAACATACAGGTCAAGTGAAGGGCAATTATACACAACATATCCCCTGCTAAACAAAACAAACAGAACAAACTTTTACTGATCTATAATGGTTAAATAGGCCTGATAGACAGTGCAGGACACTTGAAGCTAAACACTACCGTTTATAGGACTGTCGTAAAACAAAAACATAGTTTCAAAAGTGAGTGGAGCATGGACTAAGGGTCAATATAAAAAGACGTGAAATAAATTAACTCACCTATAAGTACAAGGAAAATAAATGTTTTGCAAAATAACATGTTAAAGTGTAAGATATCCGACCAAATAAAATTTTCACAAAATCTCTCTGGGCAAAGTTATTTATTTCACACACGGTTTCGTTGGCCGAAAAACGTACACGTCATAACTAATATAAAATGACTGTAAAATGATTGTGTGAAAAGCACATTTGGTAATTAGTATCATAATAAATGTTGATCTTGATGGTACTTGAAGTGTACTTCAAATATGATAACACCTGATCGAAGTGTCCCAACGTTAACTTTTTACAATGAACGCATGTACGTTGGATCATAAGGCCTGTTATTGAGTCAGGTGGCGTATTGGTTTCGATTTCCCGCTTGTACGTGACAAGGAAAAGGGTGGTCTGTCAAACCTCGCGGACTTTCTCCGGGTCCTCTCACTACCTTTGCGCGCAATCGAATTATTTAAATAAAATTTAGCCAAATATTAGTAGGCCTACCGAAACAATCTCCTTTGTGTCTATTTAGTCGATGTTAAAGCCCCCCCCCCCCACACAATATCCAACAGCTTATACTAAATACAGCATTGCTTTTACAAAAATCGCCCGTTATCCACTCTAACCACAGGACTTCCCCCATAGGCCCAGATAGAAAGGCCAAGATATACACCTGGCGTTAACCCCCACCCCACCCCCCAAAAAACAAAAACAAAAATAAAACAACCAAATGTAGGGTTTCATGGGCACAGCCCTTAACGAGATTTCTCCTTCAATTTCCCTGCATCACAATATTTTGTCTCCTAGATGGGATGTATAAAAGTAAAGCTCTGACTAGTCCTACGGTAGAACACTCTAACTGCTTTGTTTTCTCTTTGAATGTATATTTGATGTTGTCAAAAACTCTAGATGAATTAAACCTGTTTATCCGATTTTTTATGGTTGACGTCCATGCGTTATACAGAAAGATAAAGCTCTACCTTCGACCCAGACATGCTCTATATAATACACTCTTCGAAACTTGGAAAACTGACCACAGACCTTACGTAAAAATCGGTGGATTACCGTTCTGACCCCCCCCCCCCTTCCCCCACCCAGCTGTCAGTCCTCAAAATAGCAATAATAGGGCTAGGAAAAGTGTCAGTCATTTCGGACTGTATGCATGTCTTGTTTTTAACGCCCTGTAAATTATATCAACTTTTATTGGCATGTGTGAAATTTTGAACCAATTTACTGCTGCTCATTTGAACGATATATTGCACCATATTTACTGGCGGAAATGCTGCATATATTAAAGTCATATGGTGGCTGTTAGCGGCCATTCAAATGTCACCTAATTCGTCGCCTTATGAAGACGGCGACAAGTCGACAAGTCGACGAAATCAACCCGCCATATGGTGGCTGTTAGCGGCCATTCAAATGTCATCTAAATCGTCACCTTATGAAGACGGCGACAAGTCGACGAAATCAACCCGCCAATACGACAAAATAACCCGACGATCGTCGCCTTCATTTCGTCAACTTGTCGGGTCAATTCTGTCGACTTGTCACGTCAACTTATTCACAGCCCGACAAGTCGACAAGCCGACAAAATACAATTATTTCGACTTGTCGTGCGGCGACTCGTCGCCTCGGAAGTTAATCTGTGCGCATGCAAGTTATCCAATCAGCAAATGCGCAAGCTCGAGTTTGACTTCCGAGGCGACAAGTCGCCACACGACAAGTCGAAATATTTGTATTTTGTCGACTTGTCGGGTTGTGAATAAGTCGAAGGCGACAAGTCGACAGAATTGACCCAACAAGTCGACGAAATGAAGGCGACGATCATCGGGTTATTTTGTCGTGTTGACGGGTTGATTTTGTCGACTTGTCGACTTCTTCACAAGGCGACGATTTAGATTCATTTGAATGGCCGCTAACAGCCACCATAAAGTCATGCTGTATTTTAAGATGGGAGAGGTGGTGGACATTGTCGATCACGGAAGAGTTGGGGCTGGGCTTCCACGACATTGTCGATCACGGAAGAGTTGGGGCTGGGCTTCCCCTCTCCCTTTACAAAGAACATTTTGATATTTTGGCTATTTTTGGTGCATTTTCTTCAACTTGACATTAAAGATACATTCCCGGGTATAAACTGGGTGATTTGATGATATATTTGGACTAAAAACATATCCAAACTAATTAATTTATCATAATTTTGCTTCAAATCCTTCTCAAAACATTGCAATTGTCAGGGAATAGCCGGCTATAAAAAAATCGATCAAAAGAGGTCATGTTTGTGTCACGTGACACAACGGGTGCGAGGTCGGAGGCGAATTCATTTCATACACAAGACGATGCTGCCGTTATCGCTGACTATTTATTACAAATATCGAAGCCTAATGAAATTCTCGGATTATCCACTGCCAGCGTCTTTTCCCGTGATTTTTATCTCAGAAAGTGCTCCATGAGTGTTTTTCAGGAAATCCATTATTTTTCTAGTAAAATTGGATATTTCTACTTTCCATATATACAAAAAATGCATTACTTTTATTAGAAATAACCACCCGATAAATACTTTTCTGGGAACGTAGCTTTAAGCATTTAATGATCCACGTAGCCGTACACAAATTTCCCCTTTCTGTCTGCAGATTTGCTAAAAGGATGAGTGTTAGTTGTTACTTCAAATTGAAGAGTCTAGATTACGCAGCATCGTTTTTTCATTACAACCAGGTACACTAATTAGAGTGCATTAATTTGACCTTCTTGGGGTAGAAGTACATGTTCGTTCCTTTGTATTGCAGTTCAAATAGTATGAAAATATGTGAATGAGTATTCTAACATTTGGATCATTAGAGAGAGAGAGAGAGAGAAGAGAGAGAGAGAGAGAGTGAAATGGGGTTTAACATCCACTCGACAGAAACCAGGTCATTTCGGGACTAACATATTGTTTAATTTTATTTCAATAATTCGCTTGCGCGTAGGGGTCTTTAGCAGTGGGAGGAAACCGGGGGACCCGGAGAAAACCCACGAGGTTGGACAGGCGACCCTTGTCACGTACAACCGGGGATTCGAAACCACGCCAGTTGATTCACTGACAGGCTTTATGATACAGCGCGCACGTGCTAACCATTCAGCCATCCACCCCCCCTGGATCATTAGAGCACACAGATCGGTGTATCGTCAGCAGTACCGTTTGTTTTCAAATATAGTGTGGGATTCCTATACAAACTATATTGTTTGTGCATAACAATGCATTCTGCAAGCGGCAGAAAAGCAGGGTGGTAATGCGTTTTAAGTGTTCAAACTACAGTGTATTCCTAGAAATGGAGCTCTTTATCGCGTAATATCTAACTCCCCTCTAACTTCAATGTCGTTGTGTTCGTGATACTGGTAAATCTATTTTAAAACAGATTGTTTTTGATACTTTGCCTTTAACCTATAGTTCCTGGCTCCACCCAATTACCAATTACAATGCACATACATTTTAACGTATCATGATTATATTTAATTAAGACAACTACTACATTTTAAATAGCCATTTATTTTTATTTTGGAAATTTCATCTGAATTAATCTTTAGCGTATCATGATTATATTTAATTCAGACAACTACTACATTTTAAATAGCCATTTATTTTTATTTTGGAAATTTCATCTTAATTACTCTCGGACGGGGATGTTGGAAAGAGGAATGAGTTCAGCTCTTACTTCATCTCTGATAGGGATGTTAGAAAGGGGAGCCAGTTCAGCTCTTACTTCATCTCTGATAAGGATGTCGGAAAGTGGTGTAAGTTCAGCTCTCACAATCGGGATGTTAGAAAGTGGAATCATTTCAGCTCTTACTTCATTTCTGATGGGAATGTTGGAAAGAGGTGTTAGTTCAGCTCTTACTTCACCTCTGATAGGGATGTTGGAAAGAGGAGTTAGTTCAGCTCTTACTATCGGGATATTGGAAAGTGGAATCAATTCAGCTCTTACTTCATCTTTGATAAGGATGTTGGAAAGTGGCGTAAGTTCAGCTCTCACAATCGGGATGTTAGAAAGTGGAATCAATTCAGCTCTTACTTCATCTCTGATAGGGATGTTGGAAAGAGGTGTGAGTTCAGCTCTTACTATAGGAATGTTAGAAAGAGGAGTTAGTTCAGCTCTCAAGATTGGGAGGTTGGAAAGAGGTATCAGTTCAGCATTTAGGCGGATATGGTATAATTCAGCTCTTACTTCACCTCTGATAGGTATGTTGGATAGTGGTGTTAGTTCAGCTCTTACTTCTTCTCTAATGGGGATGTTGGAGAGAGGAATGAGTTCAGCTCTTACTCCATCTATTATTGGGATGTCGGAAAGCGGAATCAATTCCGCTCTTACTTCATCTCTGATAGGAATGCTGGAAAGAGGAGTGAGTTCAGCCTTTACTTCATCTCTGATTGGGATGTTGGTTAGCGGGATCAGTTCAGCTCTCACAATAGGGATATTGGATAATGGAATTAATTCAGCTCTCAGCTCCTGTCTGATAGGGATGTTGGACAGGGGAAATAACTCGGCCTTAGGATTGCTCGGAGCAGCACCTGAAAAGAGTGTCAATCACAGATATACTAGTAGTTAGAAACATTCGGCATTTAACTGTCAGAAAGGTCAAATCAGTTTAGAACAAATCAACATAAAAAATAACATGGAGACACATTGTTTGTGTTTTTAGTGACAGTAATTTTAATCCTTGCGGAAAGAGATTAGAAAAGGTCTGACCATTTATGTAATTAAAGCTTTTGCACAACCTTAATTGATAAGTTAAACTACGGAGAGGCTTCTTAAATTTTCATATTTTTATAAAAGGTTTCCCGAACACAGACCATTGAAAATTGGTTGAAAAAATTGGAGATGTTAGATTAGGCTACTTCATTTGTTGGGGGGGGGGGGGGGGGTATACGTGACAAGGAGTAGGGTCGCCTGTCCAACCTCGTGGGTTTTCTCTGGGTCCTCCGGTTTCCTCCCACTGCTAAAGACCCCTACGCGCAAGCGAATTATTGAAATAAAATTAAACCATATGTTAGTCCCGAAATGACCTACTTTATTTGTTAAATGTGCTTCTTAGTGATGATGATGGTGGACTAAATCTAAAACAAGAATGTAAAGAGTACTTACCTGAAAGGCTTGCTAGGGCAATTAATGTACAGAATATGTTCAACATCTCTACACTTTACCAACTGTAACAGACATTTTACAGCGCGTGTGTTATTTATATATAGGTATGGTGGTTGTCTTCTACCATCAAGTACCACTTGAACAGATGGTCGCTCTCGTGAATGTTTCAGACAGTTAAATTCGTTCACTTGAAAAATATTTCGACCAATACTTCAACTAAAAATTGAGTAATTATTGCGGGTGGCCCTTTGTTATAATTGCATATATCTGCTGGTTAACAAAAAGGGATTTTGCGACGTGTTTTGGCAGTTTACAGGGGTTACAAAAAATAATCATTATAAAAAAAGATATCTGTCCATCCACGCAGTTTTCTCCAACGTGGAAGTCTTGGCGTCATGTGAATTAACGGCGTGTTCTGAATTGCTGTTACAAATAACTTGATGGACAATAAACATGTCATATTGTAGTTATTGTAATTCGTATAGATAACCTATTCTAGTTAAATTGTGGGGATTGTGGGGAAGTGTTTATTATATGAATTACAATAACTCACATTTCAACACATGACTTCGTACCATCTTTTTTTTTAAATAGTAAACCTGGTATGTACAAACTATTGGCGGGGTGCCTTCTCTGGATTATTAAGGACATTATTTCAGGTCGGGCTCAAACCTCAAAGGCATTTGATTGATTATTTGTCTCGTGTGGCCCTTAAGGAATAAGACGCTCGCCAGGCCGTATATTCACCAAAACGATAGCAACGCAATAACCAAGGAACACCCTGTAATGGCCTTTAGCCATAAATATGCGGGTGGGGTGGGGTGTGACGAAGGGCTACGGTTACAAGTACGTCGAGTACTGTGCCGGATTTAGTTGAAGAGAAACCTTACGCTATTTCACTTATGCTTTTAATGGACACGTAGCCAGTTATATATTTAGTCTAAAGCCAGAGTACCAGCTCTCAGTTTTGTTTGACTACAGTTCATTTCATGTAAAACATATTCGAATAATGTTCATCATGGCATAAACTTAAATTTTAATTCGATATAATAACACATTTAATGAGATCCTATTATTTAACCTGCATTATTTTAATCACTGAGGTGAAGATATTATCTACCCTTCATTTTTTGTTCTGTGATATTCCAACAAAAATTCTAGGTAAAATTTCACTAGACAAGAGAGAGAGAGAGAGAGAGAGAGAGAGAGAGAGAGAGAGTTAAACGTCCACTCGACACAAACTAGGTCATTTTGGGACTAACACATGGTTCTATTTTATTTCGCGTAGGGGTCTTTAGCAGGAGGAAACCGGAGGACCCGGAGAAAACCCACGAGGTTGGACAGGCGACCCTACTCCTTGTTACAACCGGAATGACAGGCCTTATGATACTGCACTCTACACGCGCTAATCTCCCCCACACCCACACTAGACAAAAGATTTGTAGTCTGATCCCATGAAAGAATCATCTCCCTTTTATTGGCCGACGCGTGAGGGAGCTGTTATTGCTTTCTTGGAAAACTTCGTTTAATGATGAACTTCCCTTAAAACAATTATTGGTTTCAAAGTAAACCTCTGATTTTTTATTATGCTATGCAAGATTATTTTTCAGTCTCGAATGCTTGTGCATTTCTTTAAACAGATTCGAAATGGGGGGTTGGGAGTCACTACGAATAATTTCTCCTCGGCCTGTTTCGTAAACAAGAGTGACTTGAAACGCATGATCGAAGTGAAGGAGCACGTGTGGACAATACAGACAGCAAGACGTCAAATAAGCACAAGAATGGATAAACAGCAACAGACGCCCCGGATCGATTCATATTTCTGTCTGAACGATTACGATGCCTATGGATTCGACTTAGATCACACGCTGGCTAAATACAAATTAGTGAATGTTTTCAACGTAAATATTTAAATTTATTTTTTGCGCGATCGATTTGCCGGCACTATTACTACACTGCATACACGTGGTTAATAGTTAGGATTGCAAGTGTTGTTTTTTGAACATTACGAAGGCAGCTTTTTCTTTGTCATGTGTCTGACATGACAATAATATCTAAGAATGCTATTATGAAAGTTATTCATAAAAGAAAGAGAAAGAGCCACACACTTAATCGTTTTCTTAAAATGGTTAATTGATGTATGACTATTACTATAGGAAGCATTAATATATTTAGTCCTACAAATACCGGTAGATTGGTCAAGATTTAGCAAAGTAAAGATGTTTGTTATCTATGAACTGTCAAGCAAATATGCCCTCTTAAAGTTACAATTTCATATTTTTAAGTTATATTTTGAAAATGTATTAAAATAATTAAAGCCCTAAAATAGAAAGGGTATCTTTAAACAGTCCTACCTTGTTAAAGAATAATCCTATAATTCACTATTGCCAGTTGAGAAATTGGCAAAAATATCATTTTCAACTTCATATTCAAACGTTTGAAGATAGCTATTCCATGGTGGGGAATAGGACAACAAGGGAAGTAATTGTGTTATTATTTCCGGTGTGAAGATTTTTAAGTGTGAGAAAGATAACCTATGATCGTATAATAGTGAGTTGACAACCTATCTATTGAGTAAAAGACAGAAATAATTATGTTTTGACTTTCTTAGAAAATATGAAATTGTAACTTTAAAGATCATTATGATTATAGAAATGCAAAACATTTGCATGTTGATTATTAAGAAGCTAAACCTACTTGATTTAGGTAGAAGTATTGGATTAGAGCAATATTATATTTGAAATATGTTATGCAAATTAAATAGAGCTTATGAATAATCTTAGCTTTTTTTCCAGCTGTCTTATGATTCGATATCAAATTATTTGGTAAATGAACATGGTTACGATGCAAGAATTCAGCATGATTTACATAAATATAAAGACTTTATGTAAGTTTGGTATGCTAGATAATATAATATAATAATAATAATAATAATAATGTATATTTGTAAAGCGCCAATCCATCCACAAATGCATGGTCTAGACGCGTACTATGTACTTTATGGTCACTATTTACACACATATATCTGGATCCATTCTAGCTAAAATGCACTGGTAAATAGATGAGTTTTAAGTTTTGTTTTAAAAGATTCAAGTGATGAAGCTGTTTAAAGGTGATGGGGTAAAGGATTCCACAATATAGGTGCACTGTACTGGAATGTTCTAGAACCGAAAGTTTGTAGATTATACTTTGGAATGTGTAATAGGCACAAATCTTGTGATCTTAAGCTACGGGGTGGTACGTAATGGTTTATTGGCTCTGATAGATATGCAGGACTGGAACCATGAAGTCATCTACATGTATAAACAATACAAAGACGTTTGTAGTCAATTCTGGAACAAACTGGTAACAAGTTTAATGTAGACCTAATACTTTACTCCTCAATCTGAGCTTATGAAGTAGGCATATACTATATACATGTATCATGCAGTGTGGTATGCGGGAGAGATTTTGCTTGGGCAGTGACGCAATGGCCTACTCTTATTTTGAATTCCAACTGTCAATGGTCCTTTTCCGTACATGCCCATTCATCCATGCAAATGACAAGACATTGATATGGGGAAATCACACCAGAAAATCCAGAGGAAGCCCAAACCGCAATCTCCAGACTTGCGAGCCAGCACCATACTCACCGAGCCGCCTCCAGTCGTTGTTGTTTGTATTTCAGAGGAGAGCCAAAAAAAGCTCCCCTCAATCAATGAATTGAAAAATTCGCTCCCCTCAAAAAACTCTCCTAGTTTTCATAAGAAGGGTGATTTAGAAATTAAGGAAAGTGATCTGATATTAAGGAGAGTGATTAGTTATGTGCATGGGAAATGGTTCTAAGATCAATAACTGCAAATAATGGGGTCATTCCTGGTTTCATAAATGATAATAAACCCCCCAATGACTACATATATATATGTAAAGGAGAGCGATTTTCAGTTTTAAGGGGAGGGGAAAAAAAACTTCCCTCGGTCGACATTCAGGTGAGCGGCAGGTGCTCGAGAGCAATCACTTGCCTTAAAAAACAATGACTGCGCCTCGGCTCCTGTATGATAATATAAGTTTTGTACAAAGTTAATATGCATACTATAGGCCTACTCTGAGACGTTAAGCATGCAAAAGGTGCAAGGTTGAAATATGTAAGGCTTATAAGAACTTAACAAAAACACACTAATTTGTTTTATGTGAGTGATGTGTTCAATATTTTCAGAGCGAAAGGTTTGGTTTTAGATATTGAAAGAGGAAATATTTTAAAACTTGGAGCACAAGGTGAAATCTTGATGTAAGTAGATTTATTATCAAACATACAGTAAGTAATTTATGACTGGTGGAAGTTGTGAAAGATCAAGGAATCTGCAGTTACACTAATACTAAAATGTCAACTGATATTGAAGCATTATTCTTAGGCATTGTCCACACTATCTGTTTTCTCTGCTTACATTACAGGTATGCAGTGCTCATGCAGTGTTAATATGTAACATATTGTGTGTGACTTGTTATTCCAGGGCTAAACATGGTACCAAACCAATAAGTAAAGATAAATTAATAGATATTTATGGTAATGATCTGATGTTTGAACATTCTAAAACTATTTTAAAAACAGTTAAAAACAACAATAGTAAGTAAGACAAATTCTTATTGGTAAATAACCTGTACCCAAACTGGTACAATAGTGAATTACCTGTAGCCTGTTATTGTTAAGAATTAGTTTAGCTAAGTATACAAATTACACTAATTAACTGATTGCAACTGACTAAAGTAAATTGATTGGTGATGCCATATAGTGGCTGGTTTATTGTTTTATCAATTAGCTTTTTCAAACAGCTGCTTCCGACTGCCAACAATAATCACCCATTTAAGATCTCTAGCCAGAAATTTTAACAATGGCAATATAGAGGAATTTAAAGCTTTATATCGGTCATTAGCTACAAATGTATGTGTTAAGTATGTGAGTATTTTTTGCAGAGGACTACAGATTTTTTGAGAATTATTTCGACATCCCTGGTCTGGTAGCCATGGCACGAATTGTAGATATTTTAGATGAAAAGGTATTTCATATTTACATTTTTAACATGGAAATATTATGGGTTCATAATACTCACATAGCAGTGTTCAGAATTATGAAGGTAACTGTGGTAGTCATGTTGGACCGGAAAATCTAAAATTGACCTACGTACATGTAAGAGCACATAAATTAGAATAGATTTTCTATTCCCTCCTGTTCATTCTACTATAGAAATGTTTGATTTTCAGGGAGGTTCCGACAGTAAGAAACACTCATATCTGGAGACATGGTCTGATATAATGAAAGCCTTGATGAACACCTACACATATGAAGCTTTCAGATGTAAGTTCTATTTTCATACATTAACAATAATTTATATTGCTAAATTAGTACCCTGAAAACAAAATATTGCAATGGATAATATACTAATCAGCAAAAAAAAACGTCAGTACAATTTCAAAATCCGAGAGGCACTTTAATCAAATCATTCTAGAAAACAACTTACTAAATGGATCAAAGCGATTTTTTGTGAACAGTATGTTGACACATTAATGATTAATTCATCACAATTCCAAGACATTACGAGAAGGTTTCAAGTCTGTACACAGTCTATACATCAGTATCTGGTGTGTCCACCGCGAGTGTCAATAACAGCAGCGCAGCGTCTGTACATGGAGTGGACCAGACGATTGATGAACGCCATTGGCACCTGGAACCACAGAAAAGCCTGGTGCAATCCATCGGCTGTGTTTGGTCTTGGTACGGCGTTATTAAGTCTCCTCTAAATTTCATCCCAAAGATGTTCAATCGGGTTTAAGTCTGGACTAAGGACTGGCCAGTGCATAACGCCGACACCATTTTGCTGTAGAAAGTCCCAAGTAACTCTGGCGGTGTGGGCACGGGCGTTGTCATGCTGGAAAACGTTGTTTTGATGACATGCTAAATGTGGTATGACATGGGGTCCGAGAGCTTGATCGATGTAAAGCACTGCTGTGATGCTGCCTCCTCTTCCTGGACCAAGAATTTGGAACACCCCAGGACCCACTCTCTGGTTCAGGCCGATTCCACCCCAAACCATTATGCTTGGACCTCCCCATGAGTCTCGTTCCTTGACACATTAGTCAGAATAACGCTGGCCACGTTGATGCCATATTGTGGTCCTGCCATCTGCAGTTGATATGCAATACAGACACTCATCTGTGAACAGAACAGTTCTCCATTGCCTGTGTTGCCAGTTATGGTGTTGTTGGGCAAACTGTAGACGTCCACGTCGATGGCGAGGGGTGAGGATCGGTCAATGGTAAGGTCGATGGCGAGGGGTGAGGATCGGTCAATGGTAAGGTCTACGGCAATGGATGTTCTCTCTAGTGAGACGTCGACGCACTGTATCGGCACTGATGGGTCTTCCGTGTGTTCCCACTGTAGTGACGTGCTGTCTCAGGTGCCTGTGTGAAGGGTCTCAGCACGTGCTGTTCCACAACATGGCAGTCTTGTCGCCTTGTGGTAACCCTTGGTCTACCAGTTCAGGGGCGATCATCCGTGGTGTTGCTGGCCCAACAGTGTTGCTGAAGTCTGTAGATGGTCCGAACATTGACCTGGAAGTTATTGGCAATGGCTTGGGCAGTGTGGCCAGCGTTGAGTCTTCCAAGCGCCTGGTTCCTCTGAGCTGTCGTGAGTCGTGGCATGCTGCTGATGTCACTTTTTGGAACACAATCTTCCTCACTGCTTGTTTTTGTTTTTTTAGTGGGCACAGGTGGGTTTTTCCCTGGAATCAAGAAAAATCCAGGGAATTATGTAGAGAAATGCAGTGATGATGTAAAAACATGGTTAAAGAAGTTAAAGGAAAATAATAAATGTGTTTTTCTTGTCACAAGTTCTTATATTGATTTTTCTTCTCTTCTGTTAGAAACTATTATTGGGTAAATATATACTTAAAGATACATTCCCGGGTACAAACTGGGTGATTTGATGATATATTTGGACTAAAAACATATTCAAAGTAATCAATTTATCATAATTTTGCTGCAAATCCTTCTCAAAGTGTTGCAACTGCCCGCGTCTTTTTCCGTGATTTTTATCTCAGAAAGTGTTGTACGTCTAATTCTTCATAAAGTTTATTAAAATGTACATCAAGCGCTCATTAAAAGTCATTATTAAAAGTCCAAGTAAGGTATGCCATAAATATTGTTAATGCATTTATATTAATGATGCAATATGTAAGCTTCCTATAATAGGTCAAAAATAGATAATGAAAAATGAATGTATTGAAAATTTCATTCAAATTACTTTACTTGTAATTATGACAAGATGGGGCGTAGATTGTTTATTGTCGTAATCGAGAGCTAGCCTCTATTCGCCATTTGGTCTGTCTGTCGTCAACAATTTCTTGTGAACACTCTACAGACTACATTCATTATCTAATTGTTTTGAAATTGATATATGTTGCTTACATTAGTGAGATGAAGAATCCTATTGAATTTCAATAATTTCTGCAAATTTCTTCTGGAGTTATGGCCCTTGTTTCACTTTAGTGCTCCTTGTGAATGCTCTAACGACAAAAGTTATCCTCCAATCTGTATGACATTGATATGCATCATTTGGATTAGTGCAACAAAGAAACCTATTGAATTTCAGCAATTTCTGTTAATTACGTCTAGAGTTATGGCCCTTGTTTCACTTTGTTAAACTTTGTGAATGCTCTAATGACAAAAGTTATCCGATCTGTATGAAATTTGTATGCTATTACAGTTTTGGCCCTTGTTTCACTTTCTTGAACCTTGTGAACAGACAAAGTTATCATCTGATCTGTATGAAATTTATTTACATAATGTAAATTTGGGAAACAAAGAATCCTGTTGATTTTCAGCAATTTCCGTTAATTACTTCTAGAGTTATGGCCCTTGTTTCAGTTCGTTGAACCTTGTGGACGCTCAAACCCGAAAAGTTATCATCCAATCTGTATGAAAATCATTTAAATTAGTGAAAGAAAGAACCTTGTGAACACTTATCATCCAATCTGTATGAAATTTATATGCATTATTTCAATTAGAAAAATGAAAAAATCTGTTGACTTTCAACAGTTTCTGTAAATTACTTCCAGAGTTAAAGCCCTTGTTTCACTTTTTATAATCTTTTTTATTCTCAAACAACAACTGATCTGTAAAATCCCCCCATTACCTACAAAAACATGCGACAACCCATGTCGACCGCTCAGACGATTTACCTACTGTGGGCAACCTATCTTTAAATTATATTATTGAATGGCTATTGTGTTTCAATCCATTTAAATCTCAACCATTCAATGACCTAGAGAGTTGATTATAGGCTTGTCATGTGAATAATTGTCAAAATAATAATTTATATAACATTTGAAGCCAAAATAAAGATCTGCAATTTCTTGTGGACACTCTAGAGGCTAAAGTTAATATCTGATTGAATTTAAATTTATACACAGTGTTTATTGTCATAAGACGAAGAAGCTTATTGATTTTCAGCTATTTCCGATAATTACCGCCAGAGTTATAGCCCTTGATCACTTTGAAAAATCTTGTGGACGCTCTAAAGGCTACAGTTAATATCCAATTGACTTTAAATTTATACACAGTATTTAAGGTAATGAGACGAAGAAGCCTATTGATTTTCAATAATATCCAATGATTACTGCCAGAGTTATGGCCCACTTTGAAATATCTTGTGGACGCTCTAGAGGCTAAAGTCAATATCCGATTGACTTTAGATGTATTCACAGTATTTAAGGTCATGAGACGAAGAATCCTATTGATTTTCAACGATTTTCGATAATTACTGCCAGAGTTATGGCCCTTGATCAGTTTGAAAAAGCGTGTGGATGCTCTAGGGGCTAAAATGAATTTCCAATTGACTTAAATTTATACACAGTGTTTAAGGTCATGAGACTAAGAATCCTATAGATTTTCAACAATTTCTGATTATTACTGCTAGAGTTATAGCCCTTGATCACTTTGAAATTTTTTTTATGGATACTTTATGACCATAGTTGTCATCCGATTGATTTTATATTTATACACCGTGTTTACGGCTATATATAATCATTTCGATTGACTTTGGCTTGATACACAGAGTTTAAGGTCTTGGAACGAACAAGTATATTGATTTTTAATGAATTTTGATAACTTGAACAGCTAAATTCATGATATTAAATGTTTCGTATACTAAATGTTAGCATGGGGCAGAACTAAAAGCCAAACAAATTCTAATGATTTTCTGATAATTACTTAATGAGTTGTTACTCTTAATCAAATTTTAGTGTATTATAAATGTTTCATTACCAACAATAGAAAGAATATGCAATAACTCTTGTTGACTACTCGGACGACTTAGCTGCTGTGGGCGTATGTTTCAGTGCCTGGCAACCTATCTTTAATGTATGGTGTGATATAAAGTTTTACCAGTAATTTGCAGACAAAATGCCATCATATATATATGGGTGGAGACTTTCTTGGGGATTTTATAGTATTTTATTTACATATTCCATTTTATTTGCAGGAAAGATTGGAAGTCCTATTTTGATATCTCTGTATTTCGTGCCCGAAAACCAGCATTTTTTACCGACGGTCATCCATTTCTTAGAATAAGTGAGTTTAAATTTATGAATAATATAAATTTTTATTTATTTTGATTCAATTATATGTCATTTATTCAGGGCTAGAAATTCGTCATTTTTTGTGAGAATCTAAAAGGATTCTCTTATATGGAATCTGCGCAAATCCTCAGAATCTTAATTAATAATAATGTCTAAAAAACAAAATAGTGTTTATTGTGTGAATTTAAAACACCAAAATACAACAACAGTGATAAATATAAAACAATCAGATGGAATTTTTGGTAAATAAATAGTGTCAAAAGTGATATCCAGAAAATGACCTAACCAAAATAAGCTGATACGGCCCCATAGCATTTCTTCATAACACAATTTGTAGTCATTTGTCCATCATGTAACTAGTCACGTAACTTGCAAGAGTTTTTATTCATTTGTCGATGATAGACAAACAGCACAATGATTACGTAACTGAAATTCTGTTAGACTATGATATATATAGCCTTCAATAATATTTTAAAAATTAAACCTCTGTCAACATGTGTTTAAAATAAAAAATCATAACGGTAAACACTATTTAGAAGTTGGGGGGAGGGGAATATCCACTGTTTCTCTGTGTATTCGGTGTTCTATCAGGGGATTATATTCAATGCAAATTTAAATTTACCTAACAACTGGTCAGTGAATCCATCGATGTATGATCCAGTTATTATTTAATATCTACCGGTACCTGGAATTCACATGGACGGAGCATGTAAGTTGCGCGATTCGCAAACCATGCCAAGACCGTCTTCATTCGCCACGTGCCATTTTTTACTGAACCTATTGTGAATTATCAGCAAGCTTGTTTTGTTTTTTTACCGAATTATCAAAATCACCTTTAAATGTGCTAATTACTCAGATTATTAACCACATATGGGCGATTCTCACCAAGGTATGACTGTTGTTGGAGCCAACAAGCAAGTTGATTCACTTTTTTTTTTAACAAGTAATAATTAACCCGTTGTAATTTAGCCAAAAGTAGATTGATTTATGATACCATAGTGGCCAATACATTGTTTTACCAATCGACTAGATTAAATATCAATCGGCTATAGCTGACAAAATACAACCGATTAAGAACACTGAACCTAACTGACATTCAATAGTCGTACTCGAAAATTCTCTGATATTTTTTTTTTTTTATAAAATTATTACGCGAATCCTTGTAGATTCACAGCGTAAGCTCTTGCGTGAATTAGATTCGGAGATTCACATGAATTTCTAGCCCTGTTTATTTCATAATTTCAACTCCAAAAACCACTAGAACTCCGAAGGAGTACTGACATGTTTCGGTATGCCATGTCACATCAGGTCATGCCTTATCACTTCAACAATCAAGTTACACCATGAATTATTGTAAGATCCAATACCTATTAAAGTAGAAAAACGGTCATTTTGAACTCTTAATAAAACCGGAAGTTATACTTCATGACTGAACTTTTTTATATTAATTGTTAGTAGACATTAGGGTCATCATACATACAAAGGTTAAGGGTCATTAAAAGCTAGGTCACCATCTAGAAGGTGAAAAGTCAAACAAAATTGGAAGTGAAACCGGAAGTAAACAAATCGAAATTCAAAAATTGACTCCTTAAGAATTGTTGCCTTTTAACCCGTTAAATGCGTAGGCCTGGTCGAGGAAATCTAATTGAAGGGAGACAACTCTATTTACCGTTAGTTTTAATATGATTTTAGACTACTATCATTCGTATTCAGGAATAAAAAGGTCCAAAAATGACGTTTTTCGTCAAAATTAATTACACAATATTGGGTAGTTATCATTTTAAAAACTACACACTTAACGGGTTAAAGTAGGTTCAATACAAAAAAAAGTTTTCGAAAATCGGAATTAAATATTCCTACCAAGTTTCAACTTGATACATTAAATAGTGACACAGATATGCCACCTTGAATGTCGAAAAAATGCTGAAGAAAACTTTTGCAAATTTTTGATGTTAATATTAATAGAGCAAACTATGAAACTTGGAAAAACCATCAGTCAGGGCCCATATGGGATTCGCCCAAAGAATCCAAGAATGAAAACCTGAAGAAGATCCGTTGAGAAATAACCGAGATATGGGCAATCTGAGATTAGTTTTTGTCTCATGTTCATGTTCGTCAAAAATGACCCAATTTATATTTAATAAATAGATCTACTTTGGCAGAATGTTGGCACCATGTACAGTTTTAGCAGCAAACCCTGACTTTATTCACTGGTATAAAGTGATGACATTAATTTCCGGGGAAACTGTTACTTACTAAAATGATGTATTTTCACTCTAGAAGAACCAATTCCATAATTTGGTTATCAGTAAAACACTCGTAGTTCAAATATTGTCACTGAAAAAAAAAAGCTCTCTATATAAATATGCTCAATACGTACCGATTTTATCCACTCTCATGGGACGTTTCTGTTATAAATGAAATACGCTGTTGTCAATTCTCGATCCCTTTATTCTCCTGTTGTAAAAAGGTTTCATACTCAAGAATACTGATTAGAGTCTCTATAGAAGAAGATAAAAAAAAAATTTAGGTGGACTTTTCGAGAAATTGCATTTAAACTTGCTCGAAATAGTAAAAAAAAATGTTTTTGATTTTCAGTCTCCCTTTTGAGCTACCCCTGATATTTCTGACTGTTGTAAAAAGGTTTCATACTAAAGAATATCAATTGGACTCTCTATAGAAGAAGTTAAAAAAAAAATTAGGTAGATTTTTCGAGAAACAGGCGTCTAAATCTGAAAAAAAAACCTGTACTTTTCAAAGTCAGGTAACTTTTTTAATTTGTCATAGAAACTTGTCGCTTCAGTACCATCTGATAGACAATTCAATTGGCTATTAAACCATATAAAAAATTAACTACTGAGTAAACAACCAATTTATACATGGCATTTTGTGCACAGACACCCATTTTTCTGAATTTGGTCAAAGTTTGGATACTTTTCTTGAGTACTTCCGGTCAATAGAGAATTTCAAAAATAATTTTATACACTACTTCAGACATCCCTCTATGTTTCTAAATTCAACGTTTTTGAATTGCTATCTGCTTAGCTATGTCTCTGGCTATCCAAGAATGTAAATATCTGAAAAATCAGTTGAGAATTAAAACAATTATGGCCGATTTTCAATTTTCGTGCACATTAAATATTTTAACGCATTTCCGTTATGCACACAAATCTTGATATAGCTTTAAGCACTAACCACCACCCATTTTCCCAAGAGAAAATCAAACTTCAGATATCTATCCCTTATAGTTGCCGAGATATAGGCTCCCCCCCCCCCCCCAAAAAAAAAAAAAATTAAAAATTAATAATAATAATATAGAAGAAGAAGAATAATTTCATTTCAGTAATGACAATAGTCTTCCACCGTTTATTTCATCGTGAAAGCCTAAAAATATACATTAAAGTTGTTAATAACAGAATGTTTTCATTTACTAGATGATGATAATATAGAAAAAGAACCAGTTCAAGATTTAAAGAAAGATGGATGCTATAGCCAGGGCAATCATAAAGAATTACAGACATTTATAGCTAATATAACCAATAAAAAGCATCCTAAAGTAAGTATTCATCTACCTACGACAATTTTCATATGCCCACATAGGATATAACACTTCCTGTTTTGTATTTAGAGTGGGTTTATTGTCCATTTAGCGTCAAGTTGTTCTAATGATTCAAGCATGGTTAAATGGACAATAAACCCCTGATAAATATGAAACAGGAACATGTTTATCGATATTGTAGCTCAAATATTTAAGAATTCTCTTCGAAACTATTTAGGAAACATTTTTACATGGTCCGCCTTTTCCTGCAAGCATTGAGTCTTGAGTCGATGGTAAATGAATTATAAAAGAAAATGTTGTCAGATATCGCCAAAACAATATTTTTTGAAAGAATAGCAAATTAGTCCTATTGTCTTGTTTTGGGCCAGAGTGTCAACCATGATTAAAATATTTCCGGCCTGCTAATCGAGACGAAAGAGGCGTAACTCTTAGCAATAAGAGGACTTTGCATTGAAAGTCTTGTTATAACATTGGCAAGTTCTTAGCCTTTATTTTTTTAATTGCAGACCGTTTTCACAATTTTGTAGCTAGTTCTTGTTCAGACAATTGCAGTTTGTGATTATATCCTCAAAAATACCCTATAATATAAAACTATGTGATGTCTAGGATTCTTGCGGTTGCTATGTATACTGTTCTGACGTGTTGTCAACAAAATGTCAAACTTTCGGGCACAATTCCTGTTTCCTAGGCTTAGTTCAGCTGCAATTTTCGACTCCCTCATTATATACTATTCAAAAAAAGTAGGGGATATTTGATTTTTAAGTGTTATTAAAGTCACCTAATGAAACTGACGAAGAAACAAATGACAAAATGAAATGAAGTTCACATTCATCGATTTATTCCAAATGATCGTTAGACTAAGTAAGGCACAGACTGACCATTATAAGGGTAAAATGATACCCGGGGTCAAACAGCAAAGTTACCACAGCATCACAACCAAGTCAATAACGGGTAAATCCTCCTCTGTTTGCCAAACAAGCATTGATCCGACGTGGCATACTCCTAATGAGACGTCTAAGGTCATTTTGGTCCAGATTGTCCCATTCCTGTTGCAACGCAGCAGCAAGTTCTTGGACATTGGCAGGACGTTGTTGACGTTGACGTAACCTCTGTCCAAGCATGTCCCAGACATGCTCGATGGGGGAGAGGTCGGGACTCAGTGCTGGCCAAGGTAATGTGGTGATGTTCTGTTGTTGGAGGTAACCTGTAACGATCCTGGCCCTGTGACATCTTGCGTTGTCATCCTGGAAGATGAAACGGCGGCCATGACGTCGTGCGAACGGCACAACATGGACTGCCAAGATGATGTCCCGGTAGTACTGGCCTGTAACACGCCCTGCAACAACATGTAAAGCCGTTCTTCCAGCAACAGTGATGCCTCCCCACACCATAACAGAACCACCCCCAAATCGATCATGTCTGATGACGTTAACGTCTTGGAAGCGCTCGTTTCGATGACGCCACACCCTCCTACGTCTGTCCAAAAAATCAACAGTGAACCTTGACTCATCTGAAAACATCACATTGCTCCAGCGTCGATTATCCCAGTGTTGACGATCCCTACACCAACGACGTCTTGCCTGAATGTGATGATCTCTCAAACAAGGGATCGCGCGAGGACGTCGGGCGCGAAGGTGACCCCTATGCAGTCGATTCCGAATCGTCTGGCCACTCACTCTCACACCAGTGTCTGTTTGAAGACGAGCGCTGATCTGATTTGCTGTGATGACACGATTTCTCAAGGCCAAGGTACGGATAAATCAATCCTGGGCTTGAGTTGTCGCCCTTGGTCGACCTGAGCGTGGTCTGTCCTGTACAGATTGTGTATCACGGTATCTGGACCATAGCCTGCTTATGACAGACTGAGAAACATTCATCGTCCGCGCCACAACCGCCTGTGTTGTGCCGATCTGTAGCATGCCAAGGGCACGGAACCTTTCATTTTGGGTAAGCCGACGCATATCAAAATTTGTTTTCTGGTCACTAAAACAATTAAACTGATGTTTCCACCCTGGAATTCAATGCCACAATGACTGTAACATTCAAAGTCAGAGTCGTGCAAATCTTGGGTTGGACCCCCATGATGATCCCAAGCATCACCTGCATTCCATGCGGTAGCTACTGGTGCGTTTGGGCGTCACATGTAACTGGAAATGTTTCTTCTGTTAGGTTCTATAGTGACTTTTTTCGTAGTCATTTGCATATTTTAGTATTATGCCCCCAAAATCAAATATCCCCTACTTTTTTTGAATAGTATATTCTCAAACAATTTCTTGTGAATAATGACTTATTATCAGGCAGATCATGCTAGTCAGAATGTGATCAAAGTGTTATTCATAAAATCCCACTTGAAAGCTAGGCCAAAAAAGAAAACAAATTTGTCCATACTGTTGATTTAAGAATATGTGCACTTGGAAAGTTTTCTATAATTTGAACATATTATTTACATACTGGTTGTCTATGTTAAGACTATTTGTTTACAGGTTGTATATTTTGGAGATAATATATGTGCTGATTGTTTTCCATCCAAAAATTATGCTGATTGGGCTACCGTGTTGTTGTTAGAAGAAATGGATGCTGAAGGGTATTTGTGTTCTGATGGTACTGTGCCTGGTCATGAAAATGATGGGGAACCATCCAAAAAACGATCAAAATTTGAGGTAGAAGTTTTATTCAGAGAGTTTATAATCCATCAGAATTATCTGGTGTGTGTGACCCCCAATGTAAAATTATTTGTAGTAAATAGCTGTTGTCTCCCTTTAAATAAAGATGTCAACATATGGAGATACTCCATTTGTTAGTCCCGATCATTCGAATTTAAAAAAATTTGCAATCGAGTGACACACAATTCAGTCCCGTCACAGTTGTGTCAGTCCCGACTTCTGAGGTAGCCTGCGTGGTATTATGTTGTATTTTCACTTGTTGTCGTTGGTTGAGGTATGAGATCTTCCCTTGGCATGTGCATGTAGCACTAAATACCTGAGTCACTGTTCATAGGATTGAGAGAATTCAGTTCTGAAACGTTCAATTGATTATTTCAAAACAGTAGGAAGGACTGGGTCGTGGGGAGGGGGGGTAATATTTCAACAAGTTCATTTTTAGACTAGTCAATTATTTTTTCAGCATAGTTCATTTGTAACTCCAGAAGAAGTTGAATATTTATTGACAGAAGAATGGGGACCATTTCTCTATCATGATATAAAAGAGGATAAAAGTATAAATAATGGTTCTAGAGTAATGAACACATTTTGGGGATCAGTTATAGCGAAATATTCATGTATAGCTATTCCTAGTCTAGAATATATAGCAGGTAGGTAGGAAAAGTTGATGGAGAATCCTTATGGTACACATAAAAGAACCCTTGACAGTTGGATCGAAAAAAGAGTAGGTTGAAAAGTGCTGCCCGGGCAAAATTAAGAAGTTGTTAGTGACCCTGTTCAAGCGCTACATTTAATTTAGGAATATGTTTGTGACCTCCTCAATACTTCCATATCTTTCAATATGGTGTCCCTAGGCTGAAAAAAGATGTTTTTAGTAAGATTTGTTTATTTTGTGTCAAAATGAACTCTAACCCTTTCTAATTGACCATTGTTAGCTCTGTTCAGGTTCTGCCATTGACCTTATGAAAGCAGTTATAAACTTAGTGTGGCTTCGAAGTTTCTCAAAGTTGATTATTTATATTAAATATAGAAATATGTGGACCATATCTATTTAATATTCTGATGAGAATTGTTTCCATTCTATCTGATTCATTGTCATTTAAACATACATTATGCAAGAGCTAAATCTGCCTTTTTGCAGGTCTTTCTTTAGACCTGAAATGTTATTTAAATTATTAATTAGACATTAATTAACTTATCCAGACCATAATCAACTCTCAATGTCATCAGTAGCCTGTGATATTTACTGGATTGAAATCCTATCTGCAGCTCAACGTTCATTAATGATTAAATCAAACGAGAGCATGGCTATCGCTGCAATATACGTCCACATTCCTGCTTCAATTCATATGGTACTTTTTGAAATAAAGAAGGCTAGTTAATCCATTCAGAAATGTGGCCTTCAGATGCAAAACACAAAAAAATGGGCGTGGCTCTGCCTATGGGGTCGGTACTTGCACCAAAATTAATAGTTGCCGCCCTTAGGCTATAAGGAATACATATGCCAAGTGTGAAGATGAACCATTTAGAATTGCGGCCAGTATACAATAAACACAAAAATTTGCTGTGGCTCTGCCCAATGGAGTCGGGACATGCACCAAAATCAATAGTTCCAAGACAATCCATTAAAAATTATGGCCTGTAGGCAACACACAGACACACAAAGCAAAAATGGGTGTGGCTCAGCCACTAGGGGTTGGGCATTCACCCAAAACAATAGGATCATCCTTAGGGTGTAAGAAATATGTATGCAATGTTGCAAAAGGATCTGTAAAGAATTGCGGCCTGTAGGCGACACAAAGACACACACACAAATTGGGCGTGGCTCTGTGCCAGGGGGTCGGGCATGCACCAAAAATAATAAACGGTCATCCTTAGGGTATAAGGAATAAGTATGAAAATTTTTCAAGACGATTCATTAAGAATTGTGGGCTGTAGGCGACACACAAACACACAAAGAGAAAGTGGGCGTGGCTCTGCCACTGGGAGTCGGGCATGCACCAAAAACAATAGGAATAATCCTTAGGGTATAAGGAATAAGTATCCAAAGTTTCAAGATTATCCGTTAAGAAATGGGTCCTGTATATGACAAACAAATACAAAAAATGGGCGTGGTTTTGCTCCTGGGTGTCGGGCATGCACGAAAAACAGGGATCATCCTCAGGGTATAAGGAATAAGTATACAAAGTTTCAAGAGAATCCAATAAGAATTGTGCCCTGTAGGTGAAACACAAACATACACACACCCACAGCCACCCACTGGCATAATACATCCAAATTATGAATGTGGATGTATAAAAATTGACAATCAAGGTTATTTTTTTTTTTATCATACCGACTTTAGTAATGATGATCGAGGCTAGGCCTAAAATTCAATCGCTAAATTCTCGGTTCAGAGTGGATCAGTTTGACAGAAATTTTCAGCAAATTCCCTTTACATCATCTAGTTTTTAACTATTATAGTGAGAACTGCCAGCTCTTTATCTTACCTTACCTAATGTATCTTTAAAGATGTCAATTTGTATACAATCTGTTTACAGGTGTTCCTTTAAGCCATAAATTTCAAAAGTTTACAACAGAAGAGGGTAATACTAAAGGTTTTCACCCTGGTATTCCAAGTTCATTGTTACCTTAACTAGACGATACTGTGGTGTTCACAGACTCCTCATTAGACTGTTTTGCTAAAGGAGGAGACCCAGATCAAGAAAAGTGCTCTATCTGTGAAAAGCTCAAAGAATAATATTGTCAGTTACTTTGCCAAGGCAAACTGTAATTGATTTACAGAAATTTGATGAAAATGATATTTATATTTATCTATATGATTTGTTATAATCAAAGGTTTGTTGATATTAATTGATTTTAAAAAATCATGGTATACAATGTATAATACACATATATTTGTTAATTTTAATATATAGAGAAAATGGGCTAGTACACCTAACTAGTCATTGACTTGTTATAATATGCACAAAAGAATTACCATATTTTAAACCTTGATTTTGAATTATTGTCTTTTTTAATTAAAAAGTGAAATATACAGCTCTAACCTCTGATAAATGATTATGATGTTAATTCCCCAGAGACTTGTGTGGAAACTGAAAGATATAGTGTAATGGAATCTCGGCATCAACCAATTTCTATTTAATCCTTGAGTGGCATTTAGCGATTGAGCACAATAAAAAAAAACACAACACAAATTTATGTCATAAACAATCACTGGTTTGTATACACGTACAGCATGAAGTTTTGACAAGAGAACATTTGTAGAAACGTCGTGCTATATTTGTACAATCCAGTGTTTTTCAATTTATATTTCTCTAAATAACAGACAGCCACAGACCCAGACTGTATGGCATCAGTCACATGGTTGAAGTAATTGTTGCAATCATATTATCATTTATTTATGGTCAATATGTTAGCTTATAGATTGTCTTTGCTTTCATATTGTCTATGTGAAGTAAGTAAGTGTGCAATACTTTTAAACTTTACAAAGTAACCCGCCTTTATTAGATGATAGTCTGTTTGTAATCATTGTAGCCTTGTTGGCATTATTGATACACACTGAATAATACAGGAACATTAATATTTGTTATAAACTTGATCTTGACACTCTAGTCATTAGTTACCAGATGTTGATCTTAGTTGATATTATTAACTAGTAGAACTTGCCATCAGTAAGGTCTTATCGTCTATGTAAACCTATAAAATTAGTATAATGGAGAGAAACAACATAATATACTAAGCAGCAAAAGAAACGTCCGGTTGGTATATGACGCATTGCATAAAACTTGCCAAATGTTTTTATTGTATATTTCTGACCACATCTCCAACTTTACCAGTGCAATAAGGCTCCTTCCCAAACACAGAATTGAACCCAGGAAATGTTCTCAAAAACGCAATGTGACTTCCGAGATGGTAATGTGTTCACTATGATTTTCATGTAACTCATGCTCCACGTGCTGTTCACCGGGACCAGCCCTATAAAATGCACCCCATACCTTGTTGAATCATTCACACTGTAACGTCAGCAGCATGCCACGACTTTGATATACCAGAGGAACCAGGCGATTGGAAGACTCAAACGCTGGCCACACTGGCCAAGTTGTTGCCAAACACTTCCAGGTCGATGTTGGGACCATCTACAGGCTTCAACAACGCTTTCGGGCCACCAACACCACGGATGATCACTCCCGAATTGCTAGACCAAGGGTTACCACAAGGCGACAAGACCTTCATGTTGTGCGACAGCACGTGCAGAATCCCTTCACACAGGCATCTGAGACAGCACGTCAGACAGTGGGAACACACGGAAGACCCATCAGTACCGATACAGTGCGCGGACGTCTCACCAGAGAGAACATCAATTGCCGTAGACTTTACCGTGGACCGATCCTCACCCCTCGCCATCGACGTGAACGTCTACAGTTTACCCAACAACACCAGAACTGGCGACACGGGCAATGGAGAACTGTTCTGTTCACAGATGAGTCGGTATTGCGTATCAACTGCAGGTGGCAGGACCAGAATATGGCGTCGACGTGGCCAGCGTTATTCTGACCAATGTGTCGTGGAACGAGACTCATAGGGAGGTCCAATCATAATGGTTTGGGGTGGAATCGGTCTGAACCAGAGAGTGGGTCCTGTGGGTGTTCCAAAATCTTGTTCCAGGGAGAGGGGCGGCACCACAGCAGTGCGCTTCTAGTGTGTCGACATACTGTTCACAAAAAAATTGCTTTGATCCATTTAGTAAGTCGTTTTCTAGAAAGTGCCTCTCTGATTTTGAAATCATACTGACGTTTTTATACGCCCACATTTTCATGTGGACGTATATTGTCGTCGCCCCTGTCCGTCCGCCCGTCCACAATTGTTTGTGAAAAGTCTACAGGTCACAATTTTTATCCGATTTCAACGAAACTTGAAATATAGGTTTATCACCCTAAATTCTCGGCTCCTTTCGATATTGGCATGTATCGGACTGTAACTTCATGGATTATGGCCCCTGATTGTACGAAAAATCACGTTTTTAGCTTGTGAACACTGTAGAGGTCACAATTTTTATCCGATTTGGTTTAAACTTGAAATGTATGCTTATAACCCAAAGATCTCGGTTCCTTTCGATATTCGCGCATATCGGAACGTAACTTCCTGAATTATGGCCCCTGATTGTACGAAAAATCGCGTTTTTAGCTTGTGGACCCTTTAGAGGTCATATTTTTTTATCCGATTTAAAAAAAAACGTATTATTATATCACCGTTACACCCCAAGGACGACTGAGTTCGAATTTCGTGAAAATCGGACCAAAACTGACAGACAAAATGGCCGCCGTTCGTTCTCAAATAGCGTAAAAATATGGTATATCAAGGTTGTGGACCCTATAGAGGTCACAATTTTTATCCGATTTTGTTCAAACTGGAAATATAAGTTAATAACACAAAGATCTTGGTTTCTTTCGATATTCGCGCATATCGAATTGTAATTTCCTGAATTATGGCCCTTGATTGTAGGAAAAATCACTTTCTTTTTGGCTTGTTCTCTATCCATCTCTCGAAAATGTGGGCGTATCCTGCCTGGCAGCCGCTAGTTTTTAAAGCTAAGGGGTAATGGACATGAATTAGAAATCTGAGTACATTATGGATCTGTTTTGACAGGAAGTTAACTGCTTGTTGATGTGAATATTTAAGTGGACACAATATTTTGAAACCAAGAGATAAATGGAGTATAACGTCCATTCAACCAAAACAAGGTCATTTCGGGACTAGCTTATGGTAAACTTTATTTCTATAATTTGATTTTGAGTATGGGTCTTTAGCAGTGGGAGGGCACATAGAAAAGCCTTGAGGTTGGACAGGCGACACCACTCTGTGTCACGTAAAAGCCTGCGATCGAAACCTCACTCCTTGACTCAAGGATAGACCTTGTGATCTAAAGTGCGTGCATAGGACTACTCGAACTCGACCCCACACCCTATTCAAATTACGGTGTCATATGGGGTAACATTTAGATGAAAAGGACAACCACATTAATTAATACGTTTCTGTCATGTTCAAACAGGGTGTAGGTGTTTATGTGTAGGTGAATGCATTAATGAGCATTTTCTGTTTGGGCTAAGGAAGGTAATCAATTTGATGTGGTCAATGTTTTAGCGCCATATTTAAGTGTCTGGCAGTATTGTTAAGGTCCTTAATTGAATGATCAGGAGGGTAAGGTCTAAAAGCTAAGGCCCATTGCAGATGCATTTAGGATTAGAGCACAATCTCGTCAACATTCACGTGTCCTAACTCTATTCCGTCTTGTGACCTATGAAGAAATCTGCAATGGGCTTTAGCTTTTAGCCATTACCAAACAGGAGCGCCTGAAAATTTCTAAAAGATCATCCATAACTGTAAATCTATCAGTCTTATTTCAAGTAACTTTGATTCTACTTGAGTGATGGTGATGAAACATAATCAGTAACTTGAACTTGATTAAATTTGATGGTGAGCATATTTTCTGCTCAGGATAAGCAATTTGAATAGTAGAGACATTTGAAGACAATAACGCCCCTTGTAAATTGAGTTATAATGTTTAAATTGGTAAAGTGTTAGATGAGAATTTCCACTAACGCTATACAGAGATAGACAATTTGATTAGTTGAGACTTTGGAACACAATAACTTTTGATTTTAATTTGGCGAGAGCGGTGTAACTTGGAAGAGTGTTTCAGTACCTTCACTAAGTTCGATGATGAGAATGTGCTGTTTCCCCACTGAGTGCCGATAAGCGAGTTGATTGGTTAAAACTTTGGAACAAAATAATCTGCTTGTTCAACCTTGGACTTGGAGTAGAGGCTCAACTGAATGTCTTGACAGACTTCGATGATAAACATTTCCCGCCAACGCTAAGCAGAGATAAGCGATTTGATTGGTTAATGCTTTGTGACACGATAACATGGATTCCAATAGAAGGAGAGGGTAAATTCGACCTTGAGCAGTCTCTGCTTGGGCTAAGTATGTTTTACAAAAAGAAAAATGTGCAATTTATATTTGTCCTCTGCTTATGTTGGAACCGAGACGGGAGATAGAAAAAGCTTTTGCACGGAAGGTATTAAACAATTACTTTTAGATAGTTCGACATATATCTAGGCGCATGTTTAACATCCAAATTTTAACCGAATATTTTGTTATCATAAAATTTTATCTCAGCCATGAAACTAATTAATGTCATTTCAAAAGTGTATGATATAGATTGATCTAGCGCTTGAATTAATATATGGCATAATATGCTTATTCTTCTAAAAGTGGTCGACTTCCTAAGAAGACATAAGAAGTATTAGGTTGTAGATTTCTTTTTTGTCTGAAAGTATCCTGTCGACATAGTGAAGCTTCATATCCTAGCTCTCGATGTTACTTTGTCACGACTTTGCAGATGTTGTATTTATCGATTACAGTCATTGAATTAATTTCCCATCAATTTTACCACATCGAAGTTAACAGAATTCTATACACTATAATCATATTCAGCAAGTGTTCCTTCCTCATTTGAAATCCAGATAAGTTCCTGGCATAGGTTATTGTGACCTATAGATGTGAATCCCCCCCCCCCCCCTTTGCCCTTTTGATGTTAGAGTCAAGATAGTCCGGTGGCTGAAGGGAGGGCTGGGGCGGGTGAATCGCCAACCGAGCTGTGAATTCACGAGACTAAGTTTTTGTAAACCAACTTTTTGCGAAGATTCCGAATCTTGGTGGTGATCAGGCGTTTGAGGGGGCGTTTTCGAGATACAGACGGGGGAGGGGAGGGAATTGTGTTGACATAAATGATGATCATGTTATATATATATATATATATTGAATAAGTGTTTATGATGGCCCGGACAACTGTTTTGATTTGTGGGGTGGGGTTTTGCAGGGTTTTTTTTTGGGGGGGGGGGGGGAAATTTGCAGGAAATAAGTTCATGTTGATTTGGTTCAAACTTGACCTTAAAAGTGCCTTCTCGTGGTCTAGAAAAACTTGGTCTCATAAATTCACAGCTCGGGTGGCGATTCCCCTTTCAGCCACCGGACTAAGATGTTATTTACGCCTTATTTCCATTTACTGTTGTTTTGAAAAGTCACATTCATATCTTTGCGTTTTAAAACTTCTTTTATAGGATATTCCCCTTGAATTGAAGAGATAGTTAAGAAAGTTACGTAATGAATTTTTATGACTGTTTTATCTCTTTGGGGAACAGTGCCAGTGGATCGATTTTAAACTTAATTACGGTTGATAAACGATACGCCTACACAATTCTCTCTGGCATTGGAAGTAAACAAACCGTCTATATAGAACGACCGCCGTGTTTACGAAACCTCTGAATTAGCATCAATGAATCAAATAACAAATCGAAATATCAAATGTTGAAATCAAATTGTCTTGGAAATCGATACGGGAAATGATCAACACCATTCCTGTCATTAGGGGGCAATGTTTTATGGTGGTCTAGTATATTATGCTTACGAAATCACGGGACCTTAACTTTTAGAATAATACATCAACCCCATTTCAGTAAAACCATCAATAGTTCCTGTACTGTCTGTTGATTTAATACACACATTCAATTTGTTCAAACCATTCATCAAACTGACACATGAAAACAAAACATAGACACGAGTCTACGATAAAACACGACGTCCATGTATGGACTGAGGGTCAAATTCAATACGTAAAGTAAAACGGGGTAATATGGACCCTTATGGTTAAATGGACGCTGTGTCTAGGATATAAACTGCGATATCGCAACTGTGGAAGCAAAAGTAAAGCCAGCACCACAAGAATACGCCTAACAGATAAAATAACGACAAAATTTGTTGGTTTAAATATATTTTATTCAGAGACAGTTTGTAAACGATGTTAACACAACAATGTGCAGCTTTTATGTGGAAATTCTCAGAAACCTCCGGATTTTTATTGATGACAGTGTCTTCCCAACCCCTCCTCCCAACCCCAAAGCCATATCGTGGCGACTCTTCCTTTTCATAATCAGAGCTTTAGTAGTTTCCAAAGTACATACATCTGGAAAGAGTGCTGTAAAATCCCTTTGTAAAGTAAAATTTGTTAATGTTCAAGTGGGACATAAAACCTTTCAGTAATGCGATCCAATCCGTATTATCCCTACGATGATCAACTAGGTTTGTCTATTTCGTGTAAGCAGTCTGGTTTTCAACCAATTTTTCCAGACAGTTTGACAGTTGTAACTGGTATCGATAAAATAAAATTGATTTCATATATTTATAATGGAGTGACCATTTTTTGTTTATTTCGTCTGGACAAACTAGAACCATACAATTTCATGCGTGTTTTTGTTCGAAGAATTATTTTATTAAAGCTGTATTATGTAAGATTTCGATAAAGAGCTGGCAGTTTTCGCTACAATAGTTAAAAAATAGATAATAAAAAGGAAATAAAATGTTGAACATTTCAGTCAAATTACTGACCGTTTGAAGAACAGTGTAGTATTCTCGATTGTCATTGCTACCGTTGTTACGCTAATAAACAAAACCTTGATTATCCATTTTTTAATTAAATTATTAACTTACAATAATGTTTAAATCTGTTAAAGGTCAACGTTTGAGGCCAAAAGAAATATCTGCATTAGGAAGATTTAGCTCTTATATAATGCATTTAAAAGAGAGAGAGAGAGAGAGAGAGAGAGAGAGGGAGGGAGAGAATAGGGATTTAGACTCATTTTCGTCTATTTCAAGGTTTCGTCTATTTCAATGCGCCCTTTAATGAACCATTATGTATATCAGTGTTGTTTACATTATCTTTGCCTTACTAAAGTGGAATTTGTAAACTTGATAATATATAGGGGATTCTGATGGAAAGTAATTTTCGATCGACGAGGGTACAGGTTGATCGTATTCGATCCCTTCTTTGTCAGTGCTGATTTGTTTGGACAAATGATGATTTAAAACGACTAGAACTCTTTTAATTTGTGTCAAAAATAAAATTTTATTGGATGTTGTATTTTGTCATGTTTTGTGGATTGGCTCCGTTTTATTTCTTAGCTAATTTATTGTTATTGTTTGTTAATCATGCCGATTTACGTATGACAATCGAGATGTAAGCTTTATTCATTTTTATCCGAATATTGTTCAGAGAGCAAAGTTTTCTCCTTTTTTTGGGTGAAAATTAATAGGTCTAGACTATATTTAATTCTGAAAAAAGCCGCTTAGTGAATGGGAATGTTTAGAAATTGTGAACCTGAAGTTGGTAAATAAATAATTATACCGTCAATGTTTGAATTAACGTAAGCAATAGTGATAAGAAATACTGTTTACCTGACCCATGGGCCACTTTTCTACTTAATCACAATTCTAAGGAGATACCATGCTCCGTCTTATTCACCGACTTAAAATAAAACATACCGTTTTTGAATGTAAAGAAAAAATATATGTTTAGTATTTACAAAATACAAACCATTTACATAAATAATTTCTTCTTTGTATGGGGGTTGGGTGGCCGAATGGTTGACGCGTGCGCGTTTGATCATACGGTCTGTCATTGAGTCCAGTGGTGTGGTTTCGAATCCCCGCTTGTACGTGACAAAGAGTAGGGTCGACTGTCCAACCTCGTGGGATTTCTCTGGGTTCTCCGGTTTCCTCCCACTGCTAAAGACCCCTGTGAGCAAGCGAATTATTGAAATAAAACTGAACCATGTGTTAGTCCTGAAATGGCCTAGCACTTCTCTCCCCCCTCTCTCTCTCTCTCTCTCTCTCTGATGCTTGAATTATTGGTTCTCATAATATAGGTATGGAAGCCGATACGTTTCCCCTTCGCCCCTCCGTGTCTTCTGGTTAACTAAGTGGCCCTATGAGTTAACAGCGCCAAGGCAAGTAGACGTTTTTTGTAGAATCCAAACGATTACACACTTTTCCTTGCCAAGCCCCCAGTCTTTCACTTCTTACAAGAATGGGGGTCACGGTGGCTAACTGGGTAAGACGCTGGCTCCCTAGCCTGGAGGTCGGATGTTCGATCCCTGCATTGGCCGAGAAAGTTCATCCAGGTTTTCCGGCGTGGTTCCCCGCCTTGTCAGTGATGCAGGAAGGAGGGCCTAACAAAGACAGCTGTCTAATCGTTCAGATGGGACGAAAAACCGAAGTCCAGTGTACACATTGGCGTGCACGTAAAAGATCTGACAGTTGGAATTCGATATATTAAGAAGAGTAAGCCGTAGTGCCGCTGTCCGGGCAAAATTTCCCCTCATAGCACACTGCATGGCGTATGCCCTTCTTTATTAGCCCAATTCGGAGCGGGGGGTTGGATGGCTGAATGGTTAGCGTGCGCGCGCGGTATCATATAGTCTGTCATTGAGTCGACTGGCGTGGTAATTAAAAATGACTGATTCACTGTATTTTTTTTAAAAGAAAAATGCACAATGGATTAAGCAGGCGCAAACTACTGCGGGTCAATTTCGACTGTTCACCAAACATAAAATTGATTAGAAAAAAAAAATAATAAATGAACATAAATCACTTTATACCCATCTACATTACGTGTTTTTATAACCCATATTCGTCTATGTTAAGGTTTTACAGAGTAGAGCTATACACCCTTTAATATATTTTTCATTAGTAATAGATGTTTGGTTAGAATAATCGTTGGAGTCAGGCGTGCGCAAATTGTTCACTGATGAATAATTAAAAAAAAAAACATCGAGATTTTTTAAGTTCGGTTTGCCGTTCGATTCAGGGATGACAAAAGTTATATTCGGATGGGAAGACAAACACGAGTGTGCATACTGAAATGATTGTAACAGGAGCCTTTGACAGATGGAAGAAGAGTAAATGGAAGTGTCGTTGTCTGGACAAACATTCTCCTAAACTGTCACATGTAGCCAAGTATTTAAATATAACAACAGTCAGTCTCAAAATGACCCAGATAAGGAAAACCCCCAAACAAGTAAGAATAATACATGTTGTTCGGTATGAATGGGGCTTTCTGTCAGGTTTAGTGTGACAAGTAGCACATCAGGCAGTCCCTAGAACGTATTGTATATGCGATTTGCTTCGTTAAAGTACTCCGTTTGTCAGACAAAATGGCTATTTTTAATGCCCACATTCGTATTTGAAAAGGTTGAGCCAAATATTTAAATCGAAGTCAACAAGAGGCATCGATTCTATTGACGGCCGTTCAGTCTACAACTCTTCAAACGCAGTTTCCTTACTGACTAAAATTGGACAATAAGAATACAGAGTAGCATGTGTGTGGGTGCGGGTGTGTGTGTGTGTAACATAATTTTCAGGTTCATTGGTTTACAAACTATATAACACGTTTTCTGTGGTAAGTTCGAATATCATAACAAGCCTTCAATTTAATAAAACCCGGACAAATAATTTATTCACAATCTATTAAAATGAAATTATTTAAAATACGATACAAAATTATACAATAATATGACAATACATACTGTAAAACATGAAATTATTGCGCGCGTGATATTACTGACAATATTGCGAATGACCAATGAAATTGATGTTATTAATATAGACTTATTATGACTCGCATTTATTTCATGTCACATATTCACCCAGTATGGTCAATACGCAATAATTAATGGCGCAAAAATACCAGCATGTAATTGAGTGATGTAGATAACTATTATGTAACTGATTGATATAGATTACTATCATGTAATTGATTGATGTAGATTATCCATATTATCACAGTTAAGCTTTTATATTGTCAAAGGTACATATACATCATTACGTATTAATCTGTGCAGAACACATTCGATTTCTACCCATTAATTTAGATTTAACAACACCATTAACAGCCTTGTATGAAGAATTCAACCTGGAGGATTTGGTGGATGTAATGCTACTTATATCCTTTCTTGTTAACTTCTCTAACTGAAACAGATATTAACAGCCATATATGAATACAAAAGATATAATACGTCATATAGAATATTAGCCGATTAACAGTTAATGATCGCCAACCAAACGACGTTCAAATTGAATTTCTTCCCTCTTTATTTGCTAACACAGGAAGGAATACGTCCCTAGACATATACCAAACGGTGTCGAATGTTATATAAGCGTAGGTTTGACTATTAAATTACTAACTTTTAACTGTTACACACAATAACCTACTGTCCCTTGGGTATTTACTTTACTGTTACTTTACTGAAAAACTAGACTTCCACTAACATATCTACCGAGTGGTCACTTTGCTATACACTTGGCCCACAGTAATGATCTTCTCGGTTTACAAAAAAAAACCCAACAAAGTGTTATGTCCCTGTGTAGTAATATTCAGTGCCCTGCTAAAGACACCCACGTGTAAGTGAATAATTGAAATCAAATTGTATCTTAATGTTAGTCCCTATGACCTGTCGCGTGGACGTTACCCCCCCCCCCTTCTCTCTCTCTCTCTCTTAAATTTTAAGTTGCCTATAATATAATGCCAATACCATTCTCACTTCCACACTTTATGACACAGAGTGGAATGGTTTTCTTCTGTATAATATTCAGCATGCTGGATATCCTTCGTTCGATAAAATGTCACCAAGATTATTATCGTTGCAGTGTTTTATGGCACTGATGGCATGTTTAGTCGTAAATAAGACGATAATTTATCAGACGGATGAACTGCTCGTCAATTATTGTGTCAAAATTTTCTTCTTCCACTCTCAAAAGATCAATGCTTTACCGGGCTTGGTCTGAATTTTCAGGTGTAAAAATATTGCATATTTTCACAAACAATAGTTTCCATATTCTGGTGTGCTAAGCACCAAGTGCATATATAATCCCGGAGCTATTATACTAATAATACTTATTGAAGCATCTAGACAAAGAAAATTCGTTACGAGTATTTTCAACATAGGCGGTGCGTAAACATATTATAAAGGTGTTTTTGACAGTTATAATTTGAAGATATGACGATTATTAAATATATTTAGGTATCAGTTTTATACGTTGTAGCTATTTATTGATATGAATCTACGATTATAAAAATTGATATCATCTGCGTTTTATCTGCGACATCATTTCATTATGGAAGAGAACGTTAAAGGAGGCAAGTCTCTAACTCAATATCATCCACAGTCTTCGACATTGCAAAAGATGGGCTTCTGATATCCAATATTTAAGACGAAATTAAAATATTAAAATTGGCACACGAATCGCATGCCAGAATGCTTTCGGGCGCCATTTGTAATAAAGCGACTCGATGAACGAAGCTAAACATCGGAGAATACTACTGGCGTAGATGCCAAAGACTGCCATTCAATTTGGACCCTTCGCGTATTTCGCCGAACATAACTGATAGAAATTACAGTAAAGACAGAAACGTATTTGAATGTAAATCAGTTTATATACATTCATAATACATTATTATATCCGTTGCGACCCATTTGTGTCCATTTCTAGGTGCCAAAGAATAGCGAATTGGCGCCTTTATATAAAGTTATTTCACACTCTAGTTTTATGAAAATTCAAGTTTTATATCCAGCCATACTAAGCAAGTGGTCGCACATTAATCAATTATTTTATCCGCTAGTGTTTCTCTCTGTAAATGAAACAACAATATTTACCTCAATTTCTTGCATAGGATTTCTAGCTAAAGAATTCCTTCCTTTCAAACTGGCACAAGAATGTGATGTTTCACGTATAGTTGCTGGACGCCATACCACTGTAGTAAACTTTGATATAAGTTTTTGTTTAAATAGTTTAGTCGTTAAAGTATATAATAAAGGATTAAGGGCACTATTTACTGGTAATATAAATACTACTACCCAGGCATATAAATCTCCTGATATATTAACACCTGAAATTAAAAAAAAAATACAATGTATTATTTATTCAGTGTAAAAAGGTGAATGGTGAATAATGACAATTATATATGTATCCCATTATGTTTAAACGAGTAACACTCTAAATGGTAGACTTATACAGCTGTTTAAGCTGGATTTGTACCTATTTCGTTTTGAACATTATGTGTAAAAGTAACACTGTGTATTAGCCGGTTTTAGCGAGATTGAAAAAGCAAAAGTGTCCAGACAGCATACAGCAACCCCATATCAATCGGGTTAACATTGATAATTTGATTATAGTGTAGACGTCTAAGATTGGGCGCATTCGGCTATACGCCATTCTTTCGTTCAATAGCATTTTTCTTTCAACTTATAAAAATACCCCTTTCAACTTAAACATACATTATGCAAGAGGTAAATCTGCCTATTGCAGGTCTTTCTTTGGGCCTGGAATGTTATTTAAACTATTAATTACACATTTATTAACAAAACAAGACCATAATCATCTCTCGGTGACATCGGATACTCGCGATTTTAACTAGATTAGAACGGTTCGCCATTTAAAAATTTAATTAAAAAATGGGAAAGCGAGGCTAAGTCGCGAATATACGAGTGCGCTAGTTACCACTATGCACACATCTTGTCAAAACAATAAATAGTGATAATTTGGCTCAGAATGAAGTAATTTGGCTGAAATTTTCAATATTTTCTTTTTTAATCATTTATTTTTGAATTATTATAGCAAGAATTACCAACTTTTTATTAAACTCTTAACTGGTGTATCTTTAGGCATTGCTCTAATGCAGGCAGGATGAGTTGATTTTAAAGAACATTAATTAGTAGAAATATAAGAACTTTAAAGATTAAGAAACGGAAAGAACAAAATATTGCTTATCAAAATCGGAAGGATCTAAAATCGAATGTTTATTTGGAATACATCCGTAAACCTGTACTGTTATTTTTCTTTGTTTAATGCCAAGAAAACAGATTCAATGGAATTGTTGAAATCTGGACAACTGTACGAGTAATGGAACAACCATAATTGAAATAACTTCATACTGAAACCGAAAACACCATTTCTTATAGAAACTATGTTTTGTGTGGTATTCTTGATAACAAAGGTTAAGGCTCTTGTCGCCTAATTTAATTTTACACTAAGGCAACCATATGAGATGTTCGACTCGGTCGTTAAGAACCACAGGTTTGAATGTTTACTTACCTGAAAGAGCAACAACTTTGATGATAATAATGGGTATCCAGCATATAAAATCTGTTATAACTATAAATGAAAATCGTTTCACCAAACATCGTTCACGACTTTCTCTTGTAGTTCGTAATGGTATCTCTGTATGTTTTATAGACACAAACATAGCGAAGTAGGCATAGGAGATAAACACAAAAGACGCCAAGTTCATTCCAATAAATAAAAAGGAAGAATATTCCCAGCCATTTGTCCGCGGGTCATGTAAATGTAAAGGTATACACACACCGTTGTTTCGGTAAAAAGAGGTTCCAAAATATTTTAATCCCACCACTGGCATAATGGCGAACGATATACACATTAACCATATAAATCCCATCACACAGTAAGCCACTTTTAATCCTCGTTTCCTTAAAGATAAAGGATACATAATGCTTATATATCTGTCCAATGTTATCACTGTTAGAGTTAAAACAGACACCTCGCTGCTGACGGTACTCATGACTCCGGAGAGATCGCATTCCCAACTATTTCTCCAGTGCTCATCGTGAAACAGATAATCTCCTCGGTACATTTTGTCCTTGGATCCAATCATAAGCAAATATATTCCCATCAACATGTCAGCCAGGGAGAGGTTTTTGATAAAGAAGGAATGAATCTGGTTATCTTCCTTCAGTAAGAATCGCCCAAGTAACACGATGATATTGCCAGCACAAGCAAGAACAGCTACAATCCACACACTGACTCTCAGCACCAAATTCTCTAACAAGTTCTCCTGGCTAGATATTCCATCACCGCTAGGCTCACATTTAATTACGTTATGTACATAGGCACAGAAGTAAAATTTATCAAAATGACTGAAAAATAAAATGATATCTAAACTAAGTATGCCAAAGGCGTTTTAAAAATAACGTCAGAGATTGCTGGTGCATACTACATGTACTCTAACATTTGTTCATCTCATTTTTGAGTAAATGTATCTCCAAACATCCATCCAAAGGATGTCCTTATTCTTGTAGTAAAACAGACTAAATGGCATATTGTGGGTTTCCAAAATAAACAAGTTAAAATACTTACATATTCTGTAAACTATTCAAAGAAGAAAACGTTTTTGGTGATATCTTCACGAATGGATTTTGTTTTAAGTCTCTACAAATAGAAAAACAAGTATTAAATCTTAAAACATATTCCATATGTACTGAAATATGCGTAATATGGTCTGGGCCATTGGGGCGGTTACCCTGGACGCACAATTTCTGAGGAACGCAAACTACAAAACAGGAAAGTAATAATTAAATAAAGTAGTATTATATAAATAAAATCACAGCGTCCCACCCCTCACATGTGCTCTGGAGGTAAGAGGCACAATACTGGACTGCCATGGTAGTGCGAACGGTCCACGTGAGGGGGATGGGCACAATTCCTTGCTCAAGACCCTGGTAATCCAGGTTACGTCACTGAAAATGTAGTATTCAATCAATTATTTTATTATATTTCCACTTTTTGGGGATTACTTTCAACATCAATCTAATAATTTATTAAATCCAATTAATGTAATGTGACCTACTTTTTATGACCATCATGGTCTGATTGTAATGTTACCTACTTTTTATCACCACTTTGATCTAATTTTGACGCTACATTGCAAGCTACATCGCTATGTAACCTACACTGTTAGAAATTTTTGTAAAATAATTATCGGTATGTTCACCACAATGTAGTAGTTTTACCAAGTCTGGCGTATTTTAACGGAGTTTCGTGTATGTTTACAGAGTTTCGTGTCTTTTTTTACAATAGACGGTGAGGAAATCAAAGACACATTCAAAATCAGTAAAACTACATTCTTACATATGTAATATTTCCAAACTGAACTCAAAATAAACAAGCATGCATGTAATTTTACAGATCTTACGTTTATTCACATTATTTTGTAAATTTACTTTTAGGTTAGAAATATAAATAAAATTACAGCAGTTCTCACTATAATAGTTAAAAACTAGATAATGTAAAGGCAATATGCTCAAAATTTCTGTCAAATTGATCCACTCGGAACCGAGATATTAGAGACTGAATGTTAGGCCTAGCCTCGATCATCATTACTTATTAAGTCAGTACGATAAAAAAAAACAACATAGTCTTGATTATCTATTTTTGAATTTAATCATTAATGAGCGTTGAGCCCCAGATCGGACTCAAATCCAGTGAAAATCCAACACATAAGATGGCATCCATGAGTTGATTATGGTCTTTCATGTTAATAAATGTCTAATTCATAGTTTATAGAACATATTAGGCCTAAAGAAAGACCTGCAATAGGCAGATTTAGCTCTTGCATAATGTATGTTTAACTTATTGGTAGTTATCGTATTCGGTAAATTTATTGTCTCTTAGCAAGCAATTTTAGAGATTTTACGTTTACTCACATTATTTTGTAAACTTTCAGGTTAGAAATATAAGTAAATTTACAGCAATTAAATTTTTACCAAAAATGTTCGGAATGTTTACCAAAATGATGTATATTTACCAAGTTTCATTCTTTTTTACAATAAACTTTGATGAAACCAAAGGCACATTAAACCCTGGTAAAAATACATGCGTAATATTTCAATATTGAAATGAAAATAGCAAAGCCAGTAGGTAATTTTACAGATTTACGTTTATTCACATTATTTTGTAAATTTACTTATTGGTAAATTTACTGTCTCTTATGTAAATTTACTTTCTCTTATTTTATTTTAGTATTCCATAGCAACGAACCATTCCTAATAATTATTTTCTTATAGTATTCATTCTAATTTATTAACCATAATATGGACAATCACATTTTGTGAAATTTGGTATATTGCATGTTATATATATTTAATTTTCTTTATTTATACGATCTAAAACGTGTATTATTATTCATCGTACGTTGATCAGATTGTAAGTATGTTCATTAACGTATAAAAAAAAATGTTTTGACTTTCTTGTCATAGATTGTATTATCTCGTAACCGAGGTCAATTGAAGACAGTTAATTAAACCGATTGGCCAGTGTTAGCTTGACTGTCTCTAGAGCAGAGTTACAATGCCTGCAGTAGACAGTACCACAAGCTTACATCTAAAATCCTGGAACGGAAGTTAAAATCATTGTGGGTTTTTTTAACATTTGTCTGTAATTTTTCATTTACTGCTTTTAGGTAAATTTACATTGGGAAGTTTAAAAACAAACTTACTGTAACCGTTCATTTACTGTGTTGTGGTGAATTTACAGTCCAAAGTTAAAAAACATTTACTGTTTTAAGGTAAATTTACTCACAAAGTCAAATTACAGAAACTCTGTAATATTACAGCTGAATGTTTATTTACAGTAAATTTACTGGCAACTTTTGCTGCCAGTAATTTTCATGTAAATTTACCAGATTTTTTCTAACAGTGTACTTGTTTTTATCATCACTATGATCTAATGTTAACGCTACATTGGAATGTAACTAACTTTCTATCACCACTATGGTCTGATTTTGACCCTACATTGCAATGAAACTAACTTTCTGTCATCACAAAGTTCTGATTTTGACACTACATTGTAATCTAACTTTCTGTCACCACCATGTTCCGATTCCAATTCGTTATATCCCATAAACCACAATTTCCCCACAAGTCCCCGCAATACGCAGCACTGTATGCCAATACAGACAAATTAAATTGGTCAAACGCCCACATGTGAGATGTTTAAACCATAACAGATACTTATGGAAAAACAGTTACTGATTATTAGTAGCTGTTTTTCCGTAAATATCTGTTATGGTTTATTTATCTACCCAGTTACTAAATGCCACTGAAAGAATAAATTAAAGGAAACCTAATTCATATCTGGTTTTAATCACACCGATTCCGTTATTAACCCGATATCAAATTACCCATTGATAATGAGGCATTCATAATGCACACCTATATACTTACAATGACTTTATATTGTTAAGAGGTAGAAACGTAGATTGATCTATATTCCATATACTATTCTTAGTCAACACTCTAAAATATTTAATAAAATACATAATGCATTGGGTATATAGAAGGCCTAAAGAGAAATAGACACATTTAAGAACTTGTGTATTCTCAGTTCATGTGAGTAGGATGTCATACGTCATTTCATTTCGTTTATCACTTCATGTGACCCGGGTAAAATCATGTGATTCGGAAGGCGACTCTTCTCCTTGCCAGCACAAGCCTCTAATCGAAACCACAAAGACAACCCTCAGTGACAGACCATTATACCATCCAATGCGTGTATAAAAGATTAAAGAGTTGATTACGTCATGTCTGTCTGAAGAATTTGTTTTAACCATATTATATACATCATAAATCTCCTAAGGCACTTGATCAGAATCCGGAACACTATACGTCAATCAGGGCAATCATACCGGATAACGGAAATACATATCCGTGCAATATTTCTGGTTATTATGAATCCACTTGCCATGCTCATAAAATACCACATTAAATGATTTAACCAATCTGCTTTTGGTTAAAGATACATTATGGGGGATTAGATAAATAGCTGGCAGTTCTCACTATACTGGTTAAAAACTAGATAATGTAAAGGGAATCCACTCTGGGAATTTAGCGATTGAATTTTGGGCCTAGCCTCGATCATCATTACTAAACATAGCCTCGATTATCCACTTTTTGATTTAATCATGAATGAGCGTTGAGCAGCAGATCGGTTTATAATCCAGTAAATGTCGTAGGCTAGCGATGACACCGAGAGTTGATTATGGTCTGGATAAGTTAATGTCTAATTAACAATTTAGATAACATTTCAGGCCTAAAGAAAGAATTTTGTTTCTAGAACATTCGATATGTGCGATATTTATCAAACCACGTATATGTATATGTATTTAATATTAAAAGACTTACAGAGTTGTCAAATTATTCAAACCATCAAATATACCATCTGTAAGATACTGTAGCTTATTTTGAGACAAACTCCTACAAAAAAAGCCCCAAAAAACATCATTTCTTTCTGAGATAAGTTTAATATGATTCTAGACCAGTATTTTCAAATATGGAGTTTAATACAAGGGATTGCGTAAACTGGAATTTCGGAATATAGAAACGAAAAGCAAAACAAAACTGATAAAAAGATCATAATTGAAAAAATGACCACATATATGTGGCATACTTAATGCCAGAGTTTAGAAAGAATAATATGGTAACAGAGGAATAATTTGTTATTATTATCTAAATAATGATTCCCCCTTGACGATTAGATACGCCATTTTAAATGGACACAGATCACGAAACAAGAGCCAAAGCTATTTTTAGTCTTCCTCTCCCTTTTCCTTTTTCCCCCTTTTGCATGGCGATTTTTGTTGACTTTTTGGTGTAGAATTGAGGAAAAGGGTTTAAAAATACCTTTTCTGCCAGGTTTTGGTGAATATTAATAATTTTGATGCGGAAGGATACAAGAGTTGAGAGGTTGGTTACGTTGAAATGTAGGGCCTGAAATTGCATGTTTACTAATTGTCTCTACTTCCAGCTTGTGTATCTCAAGTTTTTCATGAAGAACCTCATACGTGCTTTTGGGCAAGTGGTTGCCACATGTTGCTCCATCTGTGGTAGAAAGCGTTCTACCCAACGAAAATTTGGGAAAAAGTTAGAGCCGGTCTAAGATACGAGAATTAACATTGGAGTCAATGGGGAAATCTTTAGTGATCTGTGTCCAAATGGAACGCGCGCTTTCAGTTTCAATATTGACGCACATTGTAATAATCGTGCTGAGAGTTAACACCCTTTCATTAATGTACTGTTCTGTCTCCCACCGAGAATGTCTAATATCTTTTAAAGATACCGTTCTTCGGAAATAAATAAATTGGACATAAAACGAATCGTCAAAAGAAATTAAAACTTTTCTGAAAGACATTCAATTATGTTCATGTGGAAATTAAAAGAAACCAAGCGTACATAATCGGTAGATTCGAAGTATTTGTATTATTGTTTTTGACTAGAGTTATTTTTGATAATATTGACTCATTTTTCACTAACCCATTTTATCGTTCTCTTCTTGAATTGAAATCAGAAAACAGACAGTGTTTCTTTAGCATGTTAATTCGATGCCAAGTCTAACAATATTAATAGATGTTTTACGTGTCAAGGTAAGTAGGTGGATGTTAAAAGTTAAAAGTGTAAAATTATACTTTATCTAAACAACATGGCGTGTTTATTTCATAAGATGGATGTGTTAATGCCTTAGAGCTGTAGGTATAGGAATGGTAGATAATACGAATTTGTAATTCTCTTCACTTAAATTATTCCGTTCTTTGGCAATTCCAAAAATATAAACAAGAACCCCCCCCCCCCAAAAAAAAACCCCAAACAAAAACCCATCATAAACAACCCTTCTAATTCTAGCGATCTTCATACATATCGCTTTTGACATTTCATGTAAAAAAAGTTCCATGAAAATAATTGACAATTCCAATGCCAGATTTTTTTCCCACTACATGTACTTAGAAACAAGATTATTTTGGCTTTAATTCGCTTTATGGCTCTCTTACAAGATCACTGAAGTCCGTGTAGTGCTTTTAAGATCATAAGAGGTCGCTTTTAATGAAACAAACTTAACCGAGAAGCGCACCCACGCATTTAAATTTTCTTTTAAATTATATGGTTTGAAGAATTTTTAAAAAGTTTTATAGATTACATAATATATTAATCATTGGGGATCATCAAACTCAAAGGCTTTTAAGCAATCGAGGGATATTTATGGTAAATCTGCACATATACATGCTAATGGCCAACAGCGCTTTAAATCTATAAATGATGTGAAAGGTATAGTATTTTGTAACCTGTTAAAACTATTACCTAGATTTCTAAATCTCAAAATAACACAAAATAAACTGTTTACTTACAGTGTTGCTAAATTGGTCAGATTTAAAAAAGAACCCGGCTCGATATAGTCTATATCATTTTCCTCTAAATATCTAAAAAAAAAAAACCCAATAAACCCAGGAAAAGTAGAGTAGATTGTATAACATTTATTATCACGAATTGTTATAAAGTTCTTTAATGGTGGAGACAGTGGACCATTAAGTAACATATTGATACAGTACTGTTCGAGGGCTTTAACCCGAGTGTTGTTTCAATATATTACGCAGTCCAGATTTAAAGTGGATTACAGGAGATCTTGTAGAATAGATGAGAAAACCCCTACATACCGATTCTCCTTTGGACGGGATTTTTGTCGGGGTGGAGTCCGCGGAGAGCCATCCGCTGTCAACATGGCTCATGTATTGAGTTTTGGGAGGAATTAAACCACATGCCAGCCCATTTTCAATTATTTGTATGTATACTTACAATTTACGTAGACTGGGCATACTGGAAAAGAAGTAATTTCTCACAGACACAATTCTATTTTTTGACAAATATCTGAAAACACAAATAATAGTATTCGTGATTATGCAATAATCCATGTGTACTTTAAAGCTTCTGTTCTAAATTGATATGCTGCCAAGATAGACCTAAATATAAAGCTTATGGCTATAAACAGTAAGGATAACAGGGGCATATCCAGGAATTTAGGTGCATACATGTATATAATTAGAATGGAGTGAGTTCAAAACGGCGACAGTGCTTCATACTTTTGTTTGTTCGACGTTGTTGATGTAGGAAAAAAAAAATTCTTTGGATACGTCCCTGGATAATCCAGACCTGTAGCTCTGTCAGCGACAGTCTTCATGCATTGCGTCATTAAATTAACGATTATAGGGAAGAGCTGTCTGTAAACCAAAATCGGACAGTTTTGTCATAATTGTCGTGACATAATATTATATCGTCATCTGTGCAGAGTTGGACTCACATAAACTTATTACCATATTTGCGAGTTTTATCAAACTACTATAGATACTGGAAGTTTTAGACCGGAATCTCATGGCGTTTGGGATAGTTGAACTAGGTGCCTGAATCTGAGATGAATAGATATGGTAGTCTGCATTACAAGATCATTAAATATGGGCTTGGCCCAACTTTCAATCGGCATGTTAGGTACCAGCTGAAAAACAAGCATCCCTCTCTCATCATGGTCTGATGTTTAATAAACAAAAAGTATGGAGTCTTGTGAGGTGAGAGGAATATTGCTTATAAAACTAAAAAAAATATTTTATTTCTAAACATCTAAACGAACTAACATCTATTACAATGGTTATATAGTATGGTATGTTGAAAGCAAGATCTCCTCAATGTGAAATACTGTTACTGAGGTACACTGACTGTTCTCTTTGGACATAAATGAAGCTATGATAACATACACTGTAAAACACAGATTCCAATAATTAAATGTTATCCACGCTCTATATCCACACGTAACGGGGGATTCCCGGCAGACGACTACTTTTATCCGTCTGAGTTGACCCCCTACCAACACCCACACTCATATCATATTGGTACCTAATTCAACTACCCATCGACTGTCGGTCTACCAATAGAATGGTGTTTTAGTCAGACTTGGCTCTGTAGTCTTATTACTCTAAATGATATAGACGGAAATGGATGGATTCGTAAAAGGACATTTTCTTTTAAAAATCTCGCCCGAGAGAAATATGGACTAGGCTCTAAAGTGATATTATCAGGGGGTGGGGTGGATGGCCGAATGGTTAGCACGTGCGCGTTGCATCATAAGGTCTGTCAATGAGTCAACTGGCGTGGTTTCGATTCCCCGGTTTTACGTGACAAGGAGTGGGGTCGCCTGTCCAACCTCGTGAGTTTTCCTCGGGTCCCCCGGTTTCCTCCCACTGCTAAAGATCCCTACAGGCAAGCGAGTTATTGAAATAAAATTTGGCAAACATTGTTAGTAAATAAATTGTGATTCTGTACAGAAAATTACTGCTGATTGTTATGTATTTACATGTGTGGGGTAGTGTAAAGATATGTATACCATGCAGTAAGTAAATGAGAAGTTTTGTTTACATTATAAAACTTGCACTTGGTTTCTGTTACCCAATTCAATCTATACACAAAGTAGAAAATTTAAGCACCCCTTGTATATTTTTCGATGGCAAGTTATGCGAACGTTGGCATTGAAACCCTGATAATGTAGCCACGGAAATGAATGTGATTTGCAAGAAGACCTCTATGTCAGTTAGAAAACATAAAAAGTTGATCGTGGTTGTTTCGCGATTTTTATCATGATTTTGATAAAAGCCCAGAGGCACTGATTTTGTACAAAAAAATTAGCCACAAACAGGGCCCTTATTCACGAAAACTTAAACTAAGTTACAACCGAAATTCTAAGAAATACTGCAACTTCATTGGTTATATGCAAATTGATTTTACGGGTCAGCCAATCGAATTGCAGTATTTCTTAAAATTTTGATTGTATCTTAGTTTAAGTTTTCGTGAATAAGGGCCCAGTGCGTCAGCGCACACTGACAATAAGCACACTGACAAAATTTGGATGATTGCACTATCAGCTCCCGAACGTTGCAATTCATGCATCCTAAATAACTGATACGTTTGAAACATGTACGTACAGCTCTCGTAGAGTTGGTGTCCATTTAAATACCCGGGGTTGGATTTCTGGAATATTGTTACCATCTAATGATCTGAAATATTAAATTGTAAAAAAAAATATTCAAATATCTTCAAAGTCATGTACTGATGATCTTAATCTGTTCTGATAGGCCTGCTCCTCAATTCGTAAACATGTATTTAATAGTTTTGTATTTTATTCCACGACTGAAGCTGAAGTGTTAATCGACCAATATAAGTAATAAAAACTAATTTAAAGGAAAAGATATCCCAATTACAGGCCTGGTTAATATTCATATACATGTAAATGAATTAATCTTGTTCGCCTGTAAACAGAGCCAATAATACTGGCGACCTAACTTGGAATTCGTTCAGGGACTAGTAGAAGAAATTATTCTATAAACACAGAAAGAAACCTGTAATTTAAGATTCTGGGATTTCGCTTTTTCTTTATGGATTCAAAAGGGTAAACGACCAATGGGGCGAAAAATGGAATCAGTTAAATACGGAATATGCTAATCAAATATAATTATATTTTCATGCCTTCGACCTTGGTTCAAGGAACAATGAACCAATCAACAACATTTTTTAACGATCAAATCCTCTTTTTGTGCGGGTTTCCGTTACACCATATTCATTATATTCTAAATTAAAACAACATGTTCAAACTTACAGGCTTTCTAGATGTTGTAAATGCATTAAATCTGTTTCTTTTAACGCGGATATCTTGTTATGATTGATTTTCCTGAAAGAAAGAAAGAAAGGAAGGGAATAAACTATTAATAACGGTTTAAAATCCTGCAATTTATACAGAACAGAAACCACAGTAAACCTTTTAATTAAATTCTATTCGGTCCCATCTTTACGAAAACCAAATTTACTTATCAATACTACTCCTAGAATGTGATACAGATTCTATCTCGACCAAATTATTACTAATTGATTAAACATTCTAAAAAAAGTTGTGTCCGTCCACAACTGATACGTCGTCCGCGCCGTAATGAAACGATTGACATAGTTTTACTTTTCTTTGAAATGGTAACAGTAAATTGATAAATATTGCTCATTCATAATTATACTGAAGTCCTTTTTTATAATTATATAAATTTATGACAGACTATACCCAAAAAGTTTAAGAAATCCTCTGTTATTCAAAAGACACAATAACCCAAGAAACATTTGCAATTACAGTATGCTACGTCCTGGCACTAATTTATTGATGGCAACAAGAGTATCACAAGTTTCTACCAAACGTTCAAGGGTATATACTATAGGTGTAGACTTGAATAACCAGACGCTAGAGGTTGCCATTCGATTGAGACTTCTGGCGTATTTCGCCGAAAATAAATGATTTGAAATTAGAGTAATAACGGAAATGATTGAATATAAACCAGTATATATATATTCATATTACATTATTATATGGGTTGCGACCTATTTGTGTCAATTTCTAGGTCCCAAATATTAGCGATTTAGCTCCTTTAATTAAGACCAGCTTATACTAAAGTCTGTAACAATATACTCTTCAAAAAAGTAGGGAATATTCAGATGCAAATACCTATGCCGGTTGTGATATGATAAATAGTCATGGACACTTGACGTCCTTTGAGAGTATGTTCACAGATGAAGAACTTATCGCCCCAAAAGAACCGCTGAGCTGCACAATGCACATGCGACACGAAATAGCGCCATACACGTGGGAGGGGTTCATTGTCAAATTTGACACTTCAAGGAAGGGTTGATGAAAACTGCCGCGTGCTGGTTTATCCTATCCATGTTTGCTTTCCTATCAATTTTTGCATAAGATTTACGGTTTAGCGCATGTTTGCTTCAATTTTACACAGCGAGCAGTAGCCAACATATGCTTAATGTGTCACAGTCTGTGATCACAGACTGTGGAACCGGTACCAACAAACACACAATGCTGGTGATAGACCTTGTTCAGGTCGTCCTAGAGCCACTACACAAGCCCAGGATCCATACATTCGTACACTGACCTGCGAAATCAAGGACAAACGGCCAGTCAGCTTTCTGTAAACTTGTTACACCCCAAACGATAAGAAATCGGCTACATGCAGCCCATTTGCATGCGCGACAACCGCGTGTTGTGCCTCCATTAACTTGCCAGCACATGGCAAACAGGCGTCAATGGTGTAGGCAGCGTAGACATTGGGCTAATCGTCGATGGGCGCGTATTATGTTCTCAGATGAGTCCAGATTTACTATGGATTTCACCGATTGGCGTGCTCGCGTTTAGAGGCATGTAAATGAGCGTCATGCTAACATTAACGTCCGACAGCATGACAGATTCGGGCTCGGGTCTGTTATTGTGTGGGGAAGAATCACCATGACTGGCAGAACGGGCTTGCATATTGTTCAAGGAAGGGTCACCGGTGTGTACTACCGTGACAACATCCTGGCACCGATAGTTCTGCCCTTTGCTCAACGTGCAGGTCGACGTTTCATCTTTCAAGATGATAATGCCCGTGCCCACCCCGTTCGTGTCGTGAATGACTACCTCCAGCGTCACCATATTGTCCATATGCCTTGGCTAGCCGGCCATGCGTCCTCACCTTTCTCCTATAGAGCATGTCTGGGACAACGTCAACCGACAACACTGCAAGAATTGGCTGTGGCACTGCAAGAGGAGTGGGTCAGATTGCCCCAAATCGTGATTGGACGCCTGATTAGGAGCATGCCACGACGAATTGCTGAATGCCTGAAGATTAGTGGAGCAATTACTCATTATTAAGACAAAAATCAAAAACGTCCATTTTCACTTTTGACAGTGTATCTCTTTGCGAGTGAAATGGGGCCGTCAAATAAGCCGCCCATATGAACTGTTTATGTTCATGTGTAGGCAATTGGTCTGTTATTAACATACACTGGTTACCTCTGACAATGGGACAAATGGTTGATCAGGGACAATAAGACGATAGTAGTCGAAAAGATGTGTCATCATTAATCAGACTTTAATCATACTAATTGCTATGTTTATTAATTTTTAAACTCTAACAGTTTAAGTTCCATTATATAAAACACTTCCAAATAATATCCCTTGTTTTTCTCTCTCTCTTCATAATGTCACTATATGTAAAAATAAACCCTATTTTGGGTGTCAACTAATCTAAAAATTGGGCGTTTTCAAACGCCTATTTGAGAACATCTGGGAGGTTTTCGGGTACTGAAAGCTATAAATGATCATAATATATTACACTCTCACACTATTCAAAGAATGGACATAATATGAGTTAAAGATACTTTCCCAGAAAAGTATTTATCGGGTGGTTCTTTCCAATAAAAGTATGTCAAATTTGGTATATATGGAAAGTATAGACACCCAATCTTACTATAAAATACTGGATTACCCGAAAAACGCAAATGGGGCAAGCACTGGGCAAAATTGTCAGGGTATCACTAACTGGCAACCCGACTGTTATCTGCCAGCTTAAGTGAGGGAGCGGTTGTTATTTCTTGATCAAATGGTTAGGCGGTTTTGGGAACATTGAGGGGTGTCAACGTACAAAAGACTCTGCAAATAAACGGCGGAAAAAGAAGTTGACAGAAATAATTAAGAATTTGGGTTTAACGTCCACTCGACACAAACCAAGCCATTTCGGGACTAACATATGGTTTAACTTTATTTCAATAATTCGCTTGCGCGTAGGGATCTTTTGCAGTGGGGGGAAACCGGAGGACCCGGAGAAAACCCAACTCCTAGTCATGTTTTGAGAGGGAATTGAGGCAATTTTTTGATAGACTGGTTACTTTGAATATGGTTTTAGTCCATATATATCATCAAACCACAAAGTTTTACGCGGGAATGTATCTTTAATTGGATTGATAACAATATTACTACTTTAAGCCTGTTATCTGCTTTAATTAACCGAGAAGGGTTCTATAAATGATCTTGGTTCAGGTCACTTCGACTTCGCGATGATTAGAAGATCAAAAAGAGAAAATATATCGAAAGATCTCAACAATAACCATGACCAAAATAAATGAATATTAACTATAAGAATTTAAAACCAATAAATCTTGATATTTGGGGTTTTATAAGTCAAAAACGTCTACAAATGAAACGCATTTAATCTATGGACTTTTGCGAGGATGTATTTCTAAAATTTTGTTACAGACATTACAGATTCATTATTTTAAACTGACGTAGAAGAAATATTTTGATGGTAACAAGACATGTATAGAATACAGATGCCATTTTATGATAAATCATGGTATTAATATACAATACATCGACTCGGATCATTCAACAAATTATAACCAAATATCTCTGAAATATCACGTTCTTAACGACCTTCGACCCCTATTTTACAGTTACAAATATCATTGCATGCTAAATATCTCATGATTGGCCATCGATCATTTCAAAAACCATCTATTTTACATTCGCCTTGGTCCAGGCCAATGACATAACTATACATATTCCCCGAAACCAGAACGATCAATACGAAATAGAATCAAACACAAAATGATCGAAAAACCCAGTTGTTTTATTTCAGTCGTTGATTACTTTCTGGAAATTTTATTCAAGTCTCTAAAGAGTTAATTGGAAATATTTTCACTAAATACTCTAATGTAACCGGGAAAGCCGTATAAATGGTTCAAACGAATAATACAAATCGTGATGAGAGAGAAAATTCACAATCTGTTTCCATAATTATTTTTACATTTTCTATTTTTCTTTTTCTATTTTTGTTTTACAAAATTACTCCACTTTTTCAGAAAGACTTTAGGCCTTTTAATGTTCCATATGGCTTGAAATCATTTCTTGAATTGGAAATTATGTACTGTTTTTTTTTTAGCTGTATTGCTTTTAAATAAATAACAAGCATAACAGAGGGCCTTTTTTAAGGTCGGACTGTTATCATAACTCTATAAGTATGCATCATATATTATTGAAATTCAACAGGAATATTCGTTTCGTCTGAACAATGCGTATGAATTTTAAGCAGACAGATGATACATTTTGTCGATAGAGCGGTAACGAGGCTTTATAGGCTTATTTGTTTCATTGTCCGAGCCCTTCCACCAAGTTCTTAATGTTCTTACTGCGTTCACTCCGCTCCCACACAGTTTGAGCCCGTTTGACAACATTTTCCAGAACGTAGTGAGAATTAGTTTGGTGTGACAGGAACTTTAAAGCATGCACATAACAAACAGATGATTACCTATGTCGTTCTACAATGTTTTCAGAAATCGTAGTAATTCAAGTGGCTTATTCCTTTCACTAATGTAAAGAGCATATATAAATGTTAGTTTGTAGAGTGTCCACAAGAAATAGTGGATGGCGAACCATAGGACGGGTAGAGGCGATTATAATATACGACCACATTTCAGTGTAGCTGAATGAAAACAACGTATACTTACAATTCCTTTATTCTGTTGTTTGGGGCAAAAACGTTTCCAGGAAAACTTTCAAGTTCACTACTTGTGAGATACCTGCAGGTGATGTAATAAAAAAGAGGATAAAACAGTCATTTTTATTAAAGATATATTATGTAGTTTTAGATAAAGGACTGTTCGTTCTTGCTAACATAGTTCAAAACCATCTCTTCACTCTTGGCACGATGCGATCTCCTTTATGTTAAAGGGGCATTATGTCGGATTTTGATAAAGAGCTGACTGTTTGTAGTTTTGACAAGATGTGTGCATTGATTGTTTATTATAGTAACCACGGCAGTGGTATATTCGAGACTTAGCCTCGCTTCTCCAGTTCCAAATCATTAAATGGCCGAACTGTTCTAATCTACTTCAAATCGGCGCCATCAGATGGCCCAGAGAGTTGATTATGGTATTGTCATGTTAATAAATGTCTATTTAATAACTTATATAACATTTAAGGCCCAAAGAAAAACCTACACTATGCAGGTTTAGCTCTTAACATAATGACACCCATAGCGATAGAAAAATACCTTTAAAAATCAATTATTGCACGCATTATCGTACCCCCTGACGGTAGCATACCTTCGAATGTCCAGTCCTTCAGATTACATTAATACGATTGATAATCGGAACAAATTATTAGTACGGTCAGTTGATTGCTTACGATGTAATAACTTTCTCGTCGTTAAATAGCCCAACGGTGCTAAAATGAAATTGGCTGATGAATTTTCAAGCCATGATGTCTGAGGTCGTGAACGTAGTTCAGGGTACGGCAATGACTAATCTTATTCCGAAGTTTCTGACTTCCTACATTATTTGGAAATTTAATTAATTATGTGAACTTTCGCTCAATGAATAAAATATGATGTTTCTGGAAAGACAGCTGTGTGAAAATTCGCACAGCTTCGAGTATGCCACTACCTGGTTTAGATAGCAGCTCAATGCAGTAAAAGATAGTATAATTTTTACACTTCATTTTATGGTACAGCTGTCTAGTCGTTCGGATGGGGCAAAAAACCGAGGCCACGTATATACATTGGTGTGCATGCTAAAGATCCCTTGGCATTTGGAATTCGATATAAGAGTAGGTCATAGTGCCGCTGTCTGGGACAAAATTCTCTCATAGCACCCTGTATGGCGTATGCCCGTCTTCATTCGCTCAATATAGGAGTAGAACAGTAGGACTAAAACCCTATTTCATTTCGCTTTATGGTGATGATATAATGAAGATTGCGGTTACCAATAAAATCAACTACTGGATTGTTAATTCTTCAAAGAATTGATTATATTGATTATTTTTGCAGATTTTGGGTTGCACCGTTCTTTGTTATTAAAGAATAACTTACACATTTCGTAATCGCCAGTTATGTTGAAACGTTCCCTTTTCAATATACTTTAATTTTGAATGCATGATTAACCTGCCAGAAAATAAAAAAGAGAAAACAAATTAAAGATATTATTTGCAGTTCTAATTTCTTTTATCTTTAATTTATAAAACCTGGTGGGAATTAAAGTGTTCTCTAATATCAAACTAATTGCTTACAGGATAACAATAATTGGTAGCGATATAACATTTAAATAATCTGGCTAATCGTCTTAAATACATTAGAATTTACCCAGTTAAGAATAAGACGCTAAGCGATAGAAGGGATTCTAAAATAAAGATAGTTGCCATGCAACGAAACATACACCACACAGATGTGTCGTACGAGACGTGAAGTAAGGTGATCAAAATTTTAGTTTCTTAAGAAACAACAGCAATAAGTTTATGAGTATTTCCGTACATATACCTATTGAATCTAACAAGACACTCAGGGGTGAAAACTTTAGCCTCTAGAGCGTCAACAAGAGTTTTCAATGTTGTCAAGTGCCATAACTCTGACAGCAATAAACAGAAATGGTGTATAAAAAAATTATAGACCTTCGAATGATAACATTCTTAATCATCCCCAATTTTTTGCCAAGCGGTCAAGGGAATATAACTCTGGAAGTAATTATTGGAAATATTTGAACACGGCAACTGTAAACAAGTTCAGTTCTCCACCCGTACTGGAATTGAAATCGCATGCTTAATAAATGTTAAGCATACCATTAATAATGTAGGATTATGCACAGTAAACAGCTTTCAGTGCAAGTGCGATTTTCTGGAATCAAGTGCCAATCAATATGTCTACACTAAATGGTTTACAAGTAGAATATCCTAATATTATCATCCGAGATGATTTATATTGTTATTTACAGAAATTGATTCAACTTACAACTCTCTCAGATTAGTTAGATTTTTAAAATCAGATTGAGTTACAGACTCCAGGCTATTGCCCGATAGATCTCTGAAAATAGAATAGAAGACATGAGATTGATTAAATATTTGTATAGTGAAGGCGATCTGTAGCATACATATTCATCAAGTGCAGATTGTGTGTTAAGATTAAAAGAACATCAATGTTGTTATTGTTTTCTCCTTAATAAATCATGCAATTTCTACTCTCAGGAATTCACATTAACAATCAAATGAACAGATTGAGTTATAGAGTTCCTGACTTGCATGACAACAGGTGTAATTTTAGATCATACAATATTGATCTTTTCTGTTTACATTTAATGCAAACTTAGTTTAATTAGTTTCCTTGTGTACAACCAAGCTTCACGCAATACCACTTTAATTAAACTAAGAAGACTTACAATACTGTTACTTGGTGTGGTATATCTGGTGGTACTTTAGTTAAACCAGCGTCATCACAGTACAACCTCGTCTCTAATCTACATTCACATTCAGCTGGTACTGATGGTAAAACTACAATATAACATATAGTATGCTTACACTTTCCATAACACTTGATATCACTTCTCGGTCATTTGAAAAGTTCAGAATGCTAGCATGTTTGTAGTATTTTATTCCATGGCCCTTGTTAGTTACAATAAGCAATGGGAATTAGAACACCGTTCCTATTCTTTTGGCAAGCTCACAATTTTTACGTTTGTTTGGTGGTTGGAAACAATATTGAAATGTCATGACTGGTATTGTATTGATGGCAAATTACAGTATAAATGAGATGTGAAATCTTAATAGAAAAATTAGGATAAAAATGATTTATTACCCTTAAAACCATTATAACCCCAGTTTGAGTTCGACCTATGCTACCATTTAGTTTAAATGGACCCTATAATATGAGCTAAGTTAAATTTGTAACATCCAAATCATGTTAAAATGTTAAGAATCGACTTTGTATTAATCGAAAACATGTTTTAAAATCCATGGGGACGAATATAATATAAACAAGCTAAATATAAACCCATGCGATTAAATCGACGCTTTTCAACTTTTATGACAAACGTTTACGCATTCCTGGCCTTGACCAACATTAGTACTAACTTTGTAATGGTGTGTCCGGAACATCAACATCATTTCGCAGTGTTCTTTGTGATAAATGTCATTTGTTTTGTGACATCGTGTTCTTCAATTTATATTCAGAGTAATCATCTATAGAGAAATTTTATTAAGGAATCGTCTTTTAATGTCTTAAAGAAAGATGTCGGTTGAGATTTGTCAGCATTATTCCAGACATCTAGACTAGTTTATTTCAAACGAAGATCTCAAGAGAAATTAGTATTTATAGTCTAGGAAGCATAGCGATATCATCGATGTCATTAGAATTGAGAAATATAACCTTGTCATTGTCTGTTTTTCAAGTCGAAGCTGTAATTTATTATGTGATATTATTAGTTTTGAATCTGAAGGGTTCCAATCTGTCAAAATGAATTGATAGTTCTTTGAGAATATTCTCACGGATTCCACCTTGACAAAATACAATGGATAGAAAACTTAATGATTTATCTGTCCAATTGTGTATCCTAGATATCAAATGTAGAAATATTGAAACTGAAGGTCTACTGGTTAAGTAAGTTGTAGGAAGATCGGACATGCATCTTTTCAAAAACATCTATTGACTTTGTTTCACTTAACACCCAAAACAATTACATTATATTAGAGAGGACTTCCTTTCTAAGTCTATGTAACTGTTGTCTAAATCAATTATCACCGATACCAAGGGTTATATTATGACAACATTATAATATACCTATTCGCCGAGACATGCTCTCTTTAATAAATCAACTTAATATTAGTAAAGCGCTACTTTAGATCAGATGTTATCGAAAACATATGGCAAATTACAGACCTAAACTTAACGCAGAGAGTCTTAAAATAATTGATTTCCTTCCAAGGTAGTCATTTAATAATGATATACGACGAACAAAGGTTTAGATGGAAAGTGCAGATTCTATCCACCTTTTCTGCAATCTTTTGTATAAATAATTATCCTTTAAAGAACACCATGCAGGCACCCTATACTCTGAGGTTTATTTTGGCAGACGCGTTGGTGTTAAGAAGGAAAAAAATGTTCCAAATTAAAGTGTCGAACATTCAACCCGTGTTTACGTGTTTCAAACGTGATGATGTAAGAAAGACTGCTCTTTATTAAGACTTTTTTAAAAAAAAATTAATTAATGTATTAGCTGATGGATGCACGAATTAAAGCAAATCATCTGATGTAAAGGGAATAACATTTCCTAAAATAGGTAACCTCTTTTATTTAGGGAAATTGTTCTTTCAAGTTATCGGGCAAACTCAATGCCGTTTAAAAATGTTCGTATAAAAACATTGAGCGGAATTTGGTTTGTTTACTGATTTCTTTTTTTTGGCTTCAATTCAAGGCCATAAAAATTGATTCTTGTGACCGAGGAAAACATTCTAAATGACACTTCCGTGCTGAGCCAAAATTCGTGTTTTCTTAATGCTTTCGTTTGGCTGAATGTTAGAAATGGAAACCCATAGACACAGTGGAAGCGAGCGATGATAAAAGTTGGACCATTAAACAATCACAAAATAATACTACTACTTTACTTTTCTGTCGGGTGGAACCACTTTGAATTCTAATTCATGTTAAAACCTTTTTTCTGTTGGCCATTGGAACCCTTTAATATCTTGATTAACTTTTAAGAAGATTACAATGAGTCATTACAAGAATATAAACCGGTTTCCGTGCGTAATTAGATTATCTAACTATATACTATCTTATACAAATGTCAGAATGTATAAACATGATTATGACATCATCCGTTTTAGCAGTTATCTTACCACATTCCTGGGATTCTGTCTCTCTATCGGCATCAGGTCTCTTCTGGATAACCTCATCCCAATATTTATCCTGACGAGGATCACCTACAAATAATACAGCGTAATATTTATATGGCGGTTCGAGTAATCTTTTAAATTATGTAAAGTTTGGGAACATTGTATGGTAGAACAAATCAGTAAAGGTTCACTTCTGGTCGTATGGCAGTGCAACCTATCTTTGTATAAAGAAGTTACGGTATTTTTAGAACATTGTCTTAAGAACATAGTCGGGGTTTATCACCCCCTAATACACCTAACAACCAACAACTGTCTGTGTCTATGACAGAATAACGTTGTCAATATTATTTTAATGTCCACTGTACAAACTGCACATGTCAGCAGTTCAAAATACGTATTTTAGTTTTACAATTTGCAATTTCCATTGCTCCACAATACCATTATCACAGTGTTAAAATACAGAATACACTTTCAATAATACAAATACAGTATAATACTTATTTTGCACATTACACTACTCCATTCTGCATTTTGCATTATTGACAAACGCATAATAGAGCTTTGCATATTAGAAGATGGGATCAACGACGAAGCTCATTTGCACACGGAAAAAGTCCGGACTAGGACGGAAATTAATAATTTTCGCGATTAATCTTGCATTGCAGGCTTTTATTAAGGCGATAAATCTCTCGAAATACACAAACTCGACCTAAAATATCCCATCAACAACCCTCTCCCGCACCGCTTTTAGAAGATCTTATATCTGAAGGTAAATAGGGTGGAACAGCCCCTGCGAATTTCGTGAAGAACTCTGACCCTTAAATTGATCACAGGGAATTGAGGACAGGCCGACCTTCATATAATATTAGAACTGGTCGTGTAGAATATTTTAATGATAAAGTAAAAACTTACACCAATTGCCTTCATCAGAGTGATCTAAACAATGTGGTATCTTATCACACATTAATGTTCTGTTGATACATCCACCCTGTTTACATGGAAAGGTTCCCTCAGGACAATATGGCGTTTTACTCACTTTATCATTCGTTGTCACACATACTGCTGAATTAAAGAAGCATAATGTCTATAGCATGCTTAAACTTCTACATAATAAATAACCGATGAATATCGTGTGTCTGAACAAAAACATCCTCAGCTACAAAAGAACAGCCAATTTTGGATGATGGTGTCCACTGCGTAAGATAGATAAAGTAAAGTTCGTTTCATTGTCCATTCAAGAGATTTAGAAATGTAAAAGACTTACATATAGATAAGAAAAAATTGCCTTACAACCAACGACACAATTAGATTCACATTCTCATCAAGAGCGAAACATATTTAACGAAAGCATGTGTGGCAGTTGAGCTAGTGGTATTGATGTTGGCCACTGCCATGAGATAGATTAACTGTATTAATTGTAAACTATTGAATAATGAGGACCATTTAAGTCCATCTATTCACATGTATATAGTTAATGATTGCTGTCAAGAGATATCTGCAATGCCAAGTTCCGTAGAACCATGTTTATCGTAATAAATATATACATCTAATAATTTAATCATATCATTAACCTGCAACTGAAATGAATTATCCAGAAAACCTAGAATAGGTCGCCGAGTTCAAAATACATGTAAGCTTTCTTTCATTTCGTTTTAATAAGTGTCGTTTTTATTTTGAATTGTATATCTGGGCACCATAATCTGTTCAATGCTAAGAGTCTCGAACGGTCTTATTGCGGCCAATGGCTAAGGTATCAAGGGTCGTGCTGACAGCAGTAGAGGCTTGTGAGTAGAATTGTGGTAAAACTCCATTCGGTGTTTGGCAGGAATAGTTTATTAACTGGTGTTTATGAACAAGGGAGTAAAATCAAATGCATTTACTGTGTACATATAGAACGACTGTTTGAACATTTACTTGCGATAATATACAAAGAGAGACAGGAGTGTAATTTGTAATTTTAGATGATTGAGATAATTGCAATTATCGTAGCAAGTATACTAATTATAAATAACCAACCATCAGGTATATTATTACTATGGCTCGTCAAATGAAATAATAGCGTATCAGAGTTGTTATAATTGACAACAGATACTCATCTAAAATCAAGAATTGTTCTATGAATTTATGTCATTTCTATAATAATCGGTTATGACATGTAGCCAAAGTGTTTAGATAAATTAGTACCATACTTCTGCGTTCTGTCAAAGAAATTATAAGTAACCATTCTGTACGCAATCTAAGTGTGTGGTTTTCTAATTATATAAATCACACTAATCGTCTACTGTTTTTTGGGTTAAAAGCTTCTAGATAATATCCAGATAATGTCTGAATAATGACCTCATGTAAACCTATTAATACTATTCACTCATCAGCCCCATCTTCAATATTTCGGCGGTGTTTTTTTTTCTCAAATAAATAATACATTTAAGGAGATTTGTTGAACTTGTATAGCGGCAAAATCCTACTTGTAAACATGACCTTTGATGCTTGTAAAAAAAAAAAAAAAAAAAAAAAAATGATTATAAACAGACAGTATACAATATAGAATTACACATAACAAATCACCTTACTTACAAACTATAATTAAAAATATCAAAATGCAAAGGTAATATCATTTAAATAAGAAATAGGACAAATTTAGAAAATAAAAATTAACACGAAGTCTTTTAATAACAATGGCGGTTCAAGATATTTTAAAAACACATTGTTACTTGAACTGGTCCGTGTTTTAAAGATGTCGAGCGAAGTATTGGTGCTGCCACCGAGAAGGCACATTGACCAAGAACCAAGATAGGGGCGAGGGTCATAATTCTAAAGTTCCATTTCAATTGTTTTTTCTTTCTTTATCTACAGATATCAAAGTAGCTTTAGTTAAAAACTCCAGTAAATCCCACACAGGTCCTAGCCTAATAGCGTGATCTATGTTTTGTATAAGGATTAAGTATTTCCTGTCAAACGAAACTTGATATTTATTTGAATGTATTTATAGAATATAGAAGTAATAACCGATTTAATAGACAGGCGATTGACAGCAACGGATTAAGTACAAAGTTCAGCATGAAACATTATTATTGATCTCTACGCTGTTTTCCACTTTTCTCGATGAATCTTTTATCCCCAGTATATCTTATACAAGTATTTAACTGTTTTGATGATTGTAACGTATCTAAATATGGATCTCTAATATTGATACATATTGTCAATGTTTTATTGTTGCCATTGTATTCCAGAGAATATAACAAACGGTTGGAATTCTCTAAAATACAATAAATATGAAATAACAAAATATCACATGCCTGTCTATTATCGTTGTTATGCTTTGTAATCCTTTCAAGACCTAACAAAGATAGTTTTTAATGCCCTAATAGTATGATCATCTTTATTATTATTATTGCAAGACTCGGGGAAATACAATGGATATACTTAGACACACAGACAAATAAATCAAAAGATGTCATTCATAAACTTAGTGATATAAAGTAGACATTATTCTTTAAAACAGTTTTTGGCGTAAATCTTCTCAAGTTTGCATTGATCGCAATACAGCCAAAAGAAACCTGTAGTTTCAATTTTAGCATGAACAGACAACACGTCACAACCCAGTAAGTGTCGGTTAAAATGAGTACCTGGTTTATCTGCGAACCTTATTATTTTAGCAACAAAGATCATGATATTTTCGGAACTAGAATAGTAGGCATACATTCAATATGATAAGTACTAACGCCGATCTAATATATCAGGAAAATTTGTAAACAGAAAAGAAATTCAACACCAAATCAAATCTTTATGGTAATAATAAGCAGGAAAAGCAAATAGATACGTAAATAATATGCTTTCACTCGAGTCCCGTGAAAAGGGAACAAAGTGCAACTTCCTGTTATAAGTATTGGTGGCTTGCATTAGTCCATTGATCTCACTTCCGACTAAGTAAAATAGTTGGTATTCATCAGTGTTTCCCTAGTATTTCTACTAAACCGCTATCCATTTAAAAATCTTCCAGTTTTACCATTTAAGTAGGTTTCGATAAAATTTTTCGGAAATAGACAGATCATTTCAAGGCTATCCGCATTAGCTGAGAAAGAGCGATTTAAAATCCCTTGATGACTTTATAAAGTGGTAATAAAAATACATAGGAGATATCATTGGAATCGGTTCGTAGTTCGTGCTTACCGCTAAGTCTAGTTAGGAACCAGACCCAAAAGAAGATCACCATCGTAAGTGGTTAATAAACGAATAGTTACTTCGGGGTGACGATGAGCGAGAAATCAGTTCTAGTATTGTAAACATAACATACACTTTTTTCTGGTTATTTAAAGATGTTTTTTAAGAGCCAATTATCACATAATATTGTCTCTACCATAAAGATATATTATTATATTCTTCTTCGAGTATAAATAAGGATACCAGATAGACCGGAAGTAACTTTCTATCGACTGTCAGCTTGATATTTAGATATAATGTAAGCTGCGCATTTTAAACTTAACCGTTGTTTCCATGAATAGATAAGATTGCTTTATTATTGTTCAATAACTTTTCCCCAAATAGCAATTTTGTAAAGACTGTTTGTACCGACCCAGAGCCACAATATAACAAGTACGTATAATGAAAGACACCATTTGAAACTGATGAGAGAAAATAAATATAGGAATGCTGTACGTATTGTTTAATACAATAACAACCATTACCTAATTTTAAAAAATTATTAACAGATTTTAGTCTTGGAACACCGTGCAGATTTTTTTTTTTAATTTAATATTGTCTTACTGTTTTCTTGTACGGTTTGTAGCACAGCTCGGACGTATTGTCTACTAATGCTGCTGTGTTCCTTGCAAAGTCAACTGGTTTCCGAAATGGAAATAACGTTCAAATACCCCCACGTGTCGTATCTTCAAATGAAATTTCGAAAGTCATTTTGATGTCTAAATTATTACTGTATGTCATCAAATATGTACTTCAAATGATCATGGAATATATCCTTTTCCTGTACCTGGCATAAATCTGATATAAAGCCCGGCGTTTAGGAACACAATAAGCGAAATTGTTATCTTCTTAATAGATTTGTGGTTAATAATCAATTCAAATAATATACGGCTTCTCAACCATCGCCGTATATGTTTATATGCACTTGGTGCAACCGCCAATGTTGTTCATTCGGAACTAAATTGTTAGAAAACTCTCTAAATAAGAAACTTCTGAATTTCCGAAAATACGACATCAAACGAACGTTTATTGATAGCAAACTTGCTGTAAAATTAGAAATGTCGATGGTACTAAAGCATGAAGACTTAGTAGGGTGTTCAGTCAAACATGATAGTAGGCCTACACCGTTTCGTGATCCGATACAGTGTACTGTAATGAGTATAGTGCTTAATGATGAAAGTGGGTGGTAGATTATCTTTAAATTCTTACAACTGAGCAGACCGATGTGACCATTTAAAGTTGTCTTAACTTATTACAGGTCATTATACTTCACTAGCGTGATGGTCACTTCTAGGTAATTTAGAGTCGGAAATGGACAGGGGAGTGAGTGGACTGACCAGATATAGATGTATCAATCAAGGCCAGAAATGTTGGCTAATTTGGTAACATTGTGAACAAATACGAATTTTTGTGTCGTTATAGCATTAAGATACCCGGAGAGAAATCAATATATTTCGTCTTGTAGGAGTATCAAATTATTCAAACTCATCAGAAAATGATGACGTGCGTGATAGAATCAGTGGGTTTATTTTATAGTCTGAATCTACAAGCTATTTGCCCCAAATTATTGAATATGGTGCTATTTTAGTCGTAAATATGATATAAAATTTGACATCATTTTGGAACAACTTAAGGATAGGGCCAGGACGTTGGACGACTCTTGACGATTAGGTGTAGATAAAACCAATTGGAACAAGGGTGATTCGAAAGATTTATGACAACCAATTTTTATTTAATCAAACTAGAATGTAATTACAACCTCTCTTAAATCTTTGATCAATTATTCATAGCTTTTCATATTAAGGATTCGCTTTCATTTCATGCCCAGTAAACTTTTCATCAAATTCAGTCGAGATAATGTC